CCTTTGGCTTTCCCCGGCTTTTCCCATTTTGACTGACAGGCGGTGGCGGTGGACGTCAGCGTTCCTGTTGACGTCTCCCGTCGCGTCGTTTCCATTACCTTCGAGGGGCATTGTCGTCACAAAACTCACATAGTCTATGTATATGTGTGTGTGTACCTGTGTGTCGGTTGGAAAGTGGAGGAAAAACAGGAAAACTCCCTTTGGCTAGGAGATGAAATGAGTTGAGATGATGAGTTGAGATGCTAGATGTCTGACGCCTGAATATGGGAATATGGGTTAGGCGGCAAATTGATTCGATTAGGCATCCATTTGTGTCATCGATAAACGATTTTGAATCGATCCCGGAAATGCGATTAGGACTTGGATAAATGGATGCCAATGAATGCAGCTTGTGTCCTCGATTGACATCAGCCGATTAACCAAATGGTATAACAATGGATTAACTGATTAATTAACAGTTAATCAGGTCATCGATATGTTCTTGTTGCGGCGAAACTAACTTAACTGATCTGTGGACTAGACGTAGACCACCCCAATAAGGTTACTCAAAAAACTCTCTCTTGGGATTTTTAATTTTACCGCCTAATTTCTGGCTTGTAAGGCCTTAATTTTTTCATTATACTGTCTACTGTATACCAATAACCAATTTGAATGCCTACTCCTGAGACCTTTGCCATTGTTTGGAATTCTCGAGGGGGTTTCCCGAACACCCTTGAACAGTTGCCATGTAAAAAAAGCACGCATTCGAAGAATCCCTTTGAAGCTGTAATACAAAACCGGTCCAGTCAGTGGTTGCAATTTTGTGGAGTGTTTGTACATTGCATTATGTTATTATTAATTTATCAATATTTTACTATTTTAAAAACCAAATTATATCTCTATATTTGATCCAATCAACCTAAAAAACTTGAGAGACTTACCAAAAAAAGGTAAGGTTTCGTAATTATTCCAAAAATCCTTTACGCTCAACGACTTCCTCCTGTGAATAGACTTAAGGAGTTGAGGTTTATTAATTCCCCGAGATTCGGGGACAAGCGTATGGAAATTTCTTGATCTAGATTCGGAATGCATGTGTCATTGTTTGTGGAACCAAATTGAATCCGACAAAGCCATCTTAAATGTGTATTTATTCTACGGGAACCCGGGACCTTCCTGCAGTTCTCGCCTCATTTCTTTCCTCGTTCCGTTCGCCTCAGTTGGCTTTTCGTTTTTTTTTTTTTTTGGTTTTTCCCCTGGGGGGTCGTCCGCCGTTGTTGTTGTGGGGTTCGAGTGGCTCGATTTGTTTTCAAATTGAAATGGTAAAGCGATTGATGTAATTATTGCCACCCTTAAATGATGATGGGAGCGACAAATTCGATAAGTTCTCCTCGTATTCCACATTCTGTTGTGTTCTTTGTGTGTGTTTATTTTACAAGAATTATGTAGGTTTTCCCCACGTTCCTAGTTCTCTGCTCTCCACACTTCACTTTTATATCGCTCGGATCTCCACCTATACACGGGAAAAAACTAGAAGTCCTAGTTCTAGAGCTACCTTTGAGTAATCAACTACTAGAAGGAATAGAACTGTCAGTGTCTAGCTTTGTTATTGGAATCTACAGATTAGCAGTTACAGTTATTTCTTTCAGTGCACTACCTTCCCCTTCTTCGCTTTGCGTGTACACAGTTCGGAGTTTATTTCCATTTGTCTCCCCTCGTTCCTCTGCCTTTCCCTTTTCGCTGCTGTTGCTGCTCGCCTTTTTATCTTTTGTAAAACGAGTTCTTTAAACCTAAAACAGAATTCAAGACACGTCAAATTGATTTTCATCTATTTTATTTACAAAAAAAAAAGAAGGAAAAAAATGGGAAACAGCCGAAAAGGAAAAAAGTAAAGCGAATTACATGGAAGCCAAGGGAGAAATGTCAAGCAGTCTGTCATGGTGCTTGTGTTTTCCATACCTTACCATATCTCCATCCCCACTTCCATCCCTCTCATATGTTTTATGTTTTTCTTTTTATGCCTAGTTTGCATAAGGTCGGAGTGGAAAAGCGGAAAAAAGCGGTGCCACCCCCATTCCCTGGAATCAATCAGCGCGATAAGAGGCATGGCCATGGAAATCGCGAACGGTTATATCTTGTTATCTTTGTGAAAACTAAAAGATTATTGGGATTAGCTTTGTCGCAGCATACATGGCGTATGCCTCTCCTTCTCTTTCAGGATCTTACTGTTTCAGTTATTTTCATCTTCTTCTTGTGCTTTCTTTCCCTGTTGCTCTTTATCCTTCTTGCTCTCCACTTCCATTCTAGTGGTGTTACTGCTAAACGATATCTCCTTTGGCCTGATGTACAGTGCAGATTGTCTTTAGAACTGCACTGTATGAAGAAATACCTTAGCAGAGGTTATACCCTAGCTAGTCTTCACTGTATTTCATCTACTCCTGGTACACCCGTTACTGCTGTTGGTTTTATAGCTATTCCTCGGCTTCTTGTTGCGCTTCTTGATGTTGCTGTTGTTGTTGTTTTTCTGCTGCCTTGAGTGCGAACGAAAGATTTTGGTGGCAACTCCCATGGCAACTTGTTGTTGGCCTTTGTTGGCAAACATTACATACACACACACACATGTGTGTAGATGTGTGTTCTTATACCTTCGCATCGGTGAGAGTGTGTGTATCCATGGCGAGGTTGGTGTTTTTGTTCTCATCTTTCAGCTGTTCAAATACTGTTAAATATCAAAGGCGAACCTCGACGGGGAACTCTGTTTTCCTTGTTTCCTATTGAAGATAAAGCTGAATTTGTTTACTTATCCGTCTGGCGGCTGGAGGAACACATCTCTCTCGCAATCTCTCGAGGATGAGGTTGGGGATTTCGGATTGGTATTCGGTTTTCGGTATTCTGTATTTGGAATTTGGAATCTGGCAAAAGGGGTGTTTGGATGCTCACTCTATTCTGCTGGTGAGGCGAAAAAACAAAAGGGGTTGGGTAGCTGGGTAAACAGTTGGGGCTGTCCTCTAATTATTTTCTTTGGGACTCTGCCCACGGGAATCTTTTTGTTATCTGGTGGATTCTTTTGGGGGGGAACCTAAACAAGAATTGATCAGTTTATTTCCTGTCAATATGCGTGTTATCTGTGATTTTAATGTTTAACTAAGGCTCATATTAAAACCGTATTAAGAATGCAGCTTTTTAGCAAATTGAGAATCAGGAATGTGACTCCTTACCGATTGAAGGATGTGGAAAATGTAGCTTGATTGGCCTTCGTTGCCACGTTTATCGCACTTCCACCATATGGCTCGGCATAACGTCTCTATGGTCCCTTCAGGCTCAGATTCCTTTTGCCATTTCCTTATCGTCATACAGGCACCATCATTCATCCGATGAAACCTTAACTTTCCCCTGGGTGTCCTGAAAGCGACCGTCTTATCAGTGACACGCCCACATGTGGCAAACACATTTCAATTGCGTTTGAGAAAGAAAAATCTGCTTGGAATGTAATTAATTCCTAAACGGAATTCCCTAGCCTAATCAAGGGATACTACGAGTGCAGTTTTCCTCTATCTGTGTTTTCTGTTTCTACCTATTAGAAGGTGAGCGTAGCAAGGAGCTAGAAGGCAATGTAGGTATGATAGGTTTGAGGCAGGTGTGCGTGGCAGAGGTATGTACCCTATTTAGAGCTACAACTTTTTTCCCTTAACACAAATCTCAAGTAACTCAAACATAATTGAGTGGCATTAGAGTTTAGCGACCAAACTTCACACGATTTCATCCCCCCACAAAAGAAACTTTGAACTTTCTTGAATGGAATTTATATAAAAGTTTCGGGGCTTCATTTTTCTGACAGTAAAGAGGGGTATTTGCAGAAGGTCAATAGGTAATAGAAATTAATTGATTTCCACTTTAGGATAAACATGATGATGAAAATAATTAAGCTATTGCTGTCTAGGAAGCAACCTTAATATGAATATTTTTGAATATATTTGCAGTTCTAGTGACAGATGGTTCAACGTATTACAGAAGTTCGTTGGTATTTAGTAATGAACCTTTAATAACACGCCAAAAGGACGCTGAACGTATAGCCTGCACATAAATCGAATTGCTGAGAGGTCGAGGAACGGGGGACGGGGGTTGAAGCGATATATAATCAAGAGGTGGAGTTGCGGAGGATTACAAGTACACAGGGCGCCCCTATATGAACAGACGACACAAACACACACACACACACAGACAGGATGAAGGGTCTGTGGGAAGAGAAGGGGCGTCGGAACAGACGGTGCAGGTTTCGTTTCCAAGTTTCTGCAGGAAGAGAGATACAAACAAAGCCGGTCAGCCAGCCAGCCGGCACACAGATACAGACCCACACAGTGAAGAGTCAGTCTTTGCTGCTCTTTCCGTCGCTTTAAAGAGCACACAAACACAAACACAAGCACAAGCACAGCCACAAACCCAAACCAATACATATCGGCTCGCGGGGAAAATGAGTAACGAAAAACGAAACTTTCCACAAGAGTGGAAAGCGAAAATGCCAACTCTACGCACTTTTTACCCACCCAACGAGGGATTTCAAAGATGTTGACCCTGTGCGGATAGTGGACTTGCCCCAAAACCCTCGACTTTTTATCCCATCAACCAAAAAAAACAAACTTGGGGTAAACGATCTGATTGCCGCCGGAATGTTCTGTTCGATGTGGCACAGGCTCAAGGGGGTAAGTGACCTGATTTGTGGACATTTTAAATGCTTTTTGTTTTGTCAGGTAATAAATATCTCACCCGAAAAAAAGGTTTAACTAACGCGACTAAGGGTCAGTAGGTATAAGTTGATAGGCCAAACTTATGGTTCGTTGCTTTTACTAAAATCTTGGATAATTAATTTAGGGGTTAGTCTCCACATATTCTTACTTCTTAATCTTAAACCAGCAATCTTAAACTGCTTCTGATTTAAATTGTGATAATCACAACATCATAATAGAGACAAATATCTGACATCCCTTATGCCCGCTAACAACCCTTAACGGCGGTTGCTTTTTTAGCTGCTTGACAACTCGTGGGATAATTTATTTAAAACATACTTCAAAATTGAATATACAAAAATTAATTACACAGAGACCATAAAGATGGTCATTCAAATGAAATTGGAATCGAGAAGCTTGGGGTCTGCTTCTCCGTAACATCCCATATCCGCTTTGTACAGAATGCTATTGATCTGGAACTGGACTATGTTCTTGGTGCGTTCGGAGTACTTGCTCAGCTTGTTGGCCAGATATTGAAGGTAGACGGCATCATCGCTGGCGAGTGGGGAATCCACAGGAGCCGAAGGAGTTAGAGCAGCAACAGATGTCGCAGGAGCAGGACTGGAAGTCAAGCTGGCAGTGGAATTGATGGCTGCCGTTGACGATGTCGAAGGTATGGCCGCGGACACGGCTACTGATGCTAGTTCGGTGTCCTCAGTGTCATTCGACAGATCAACCTCATCGGGCAGCTCGGTTTTCCCTATGAAAATGTCATCGAATTGACTGCCAGAAGCGTTGTTTTCGTTGTCGCCGACGGCCACCACTTCATTATCAATTAAGCCGGCGGTTTCTATGCTACCATTCGACGGCAACTGAGAAGCAACCTGGAAGGCAAGGATTCTGTTTAGTTTTTGGACTTTTTACGGTTTTTAAAATATGTATTAAATCCTAGTCGTGATACCTTGGAGATGCGAATCTTTTTCGGTTTCGATGTGAAGTGGAACATGGAGGATAGGATCTGATCTGTGGAGAATACTTCGCCTTGTTTTGGCGCCTTCTGTTGGTATTCGAGAATGGTTCGTATGGCAAATTTCTTGGCACGGACAACTTTGTAGACATCCTCGTGCTTGCGCTTGAGATGTCTCATCAGATTCTCGGAGTGACGACCAGCCATGTCGAAGAAGCACTTCTTGCATGTGCTTTTTCGCGTATTTTCGCTGTAGATAAAGTGCTCAAGCACCGGATTTGGGTACTTTTTCGACATTATTCTGGTTTACGGATCTTGATGCGCCGTATCTGAGCTACGTTCGTTTACTAAATGAAATTCGCGTGCTCAGCCCGCAAGCAATTTAAAAACCGTTCTGTGAACCAAATGGAAAGAGAACGGTTCAGAGAGGAGCGGTTCAGAGAGCAGAACCCGAAAACTAACCACTACGAACGGCGGTTTCGCTGAAACATATCGAGGCACTGAACCGGTTTGAAACGGTTTCGGTTAGTTTTTGGTTTCGGTTTTTAACGACCAAGGGCCATTCCAAGCTATTTCGTTGATGTGTCCGAGTTTTGTGATTAACAAAATGCCTATCCTAGCGCAAAGTGGGTGGATAATATCAGATATGTTTTAGCTGTCAGGGTACTTACCGAATTAGGAATGAGCGTGTCCTCAGCACTTGCAGGATGATAATGTCTGGGTGGTGAATCCTATAGTGGTCGCCTTACATTACCCGGTCGATGGGTCAATAGTTTTTCGCACAACTTGCAGTGGCATCTCTTTCTGTCGCGAAGTATCCACTAATTGGGGGCGTCCCATTTTGGCATCTACAGGTCGGTGAAAATCCGATTAAAAAAGTTTTAGCTAAGAAGATTAAAAGAAAGCCGTAGGTCTGAATAAGGAATAAAAAGTTGTTATGTATTCTAAATAAATATTTTCAGTCCTCATTGCCACTCTTGGGTTAATAAGTGGCATGTGTGAAAAGGCAACCGATGGAAACGGGCCAGCAAACAAAATGGGAAAAAAACACAAACAGAAAGAAACTGAAAAACACATGCAAAAAGTAATTTTCAACTACAGTGCGATGTGAGAGAGAGGTGGGTATAGGGCGGATGAAAGAGAGGGCGCGAATGCGTGTTTAAGCAGCTCAGTTTAATGTTTCACAGCTGCCGGAGATGCAATATTTTACCCTTGTTACTTGCGCTTTGAGTGGCGGTTAGGTGGTTCGTTCTCACTCCTGTTTTGGCCACAAACATGTCGAAAAAGTAATTTCAATTTTGAAAAGAATTAAATGCCGTTGGTCACTAAGCCTTAAAGTATCAAAAAGATTGTAAATATACAGTTATTTTATTGAGATAAATATATAAATATAGTATCATTGTGATATTATAAGCGAGGGTTACGTACTCATGGTCTGGCTAAGGAACACGTATGCTTCGCTTGTTGTTGCTGAGGGAATGCTGAGACGCTGAAAGATTATATCAGGATTAAGACGCTCGTAGTGCCGCTTGATGTTAGCCCTTCGCAATACGGCAAGGGAGGAGGACCACTTGGCTGGCGGTGTCCACGAGTCTAGGCCTACCCATGTGTGCATTTTCACGCCAAGAGGATTTGTCTGCTGGTGCTTACTCGTCGCTTAGCGAGAAGAATGAGCTAAACGAGTAGAAACGAGACTCACGAAAGTGTGAAACTATTTTCCTCATTTCTTAACTCGCCAGCTCTCAATTCCGCTCAGCTCCAAGTGGGGATACCATTAGCGTTTCTCTTTGCTCTCGGACGAAGAGTTTTGAGCTTGCTTCTGCGTTTTTCTCTTTATGTTAGCATTGATAATTAACCCCCGATTGCCAGTAAACTTTAATTTGATAAGAAATTCAAGAAATATTAAGATATTGATATCCGATTTTGCTTTAAATATAGAAATCTTTAAAAACTTTTTCAAAAATAAAAAGACATGTCCTGACATGCATACTTGATGGCATTATTTATTATTTACATACATATGTATATGTATGTATATATGTATGTATGTATGTATGTATGTATGTATGAGTGTACCATCGAGCATGACAAAAGGGAATGTGCAAAGGGAAAAGGGAATCTGCGTACTTAACAAATATACCAGCTTTATAGGGTTAACGTGAGACGTTTTTTTATGTGCGTGTTTTGTGTGCTAAAGTTTTATTTGCTTCTGGTGTAGTCAACGCTTTGGAATGAACGGAGTAGGAGGAGGAGGGCGAATTTTATGTGGCCTCTGGGATTGCCTCAATATTCCTTTTCTCATTTTTTGTTCACACATGGGTAACCGTAGGGCAGCAAATTCGCTATTTTTTGATACTTTAGAGCAGCTCAACTTCATGTTTAATGCAAAACTACATATGTTTGTTGTATTGGCAGGTGAAACAAAGGACTATTTGCAGATTTTTTAAATATTAAATAATATTTACATTATTTATTATCGTTTTGTCATGAGTTCTATGAGTTGTTTGTGTTTTCAGTCATTGCAAAATTTGTCAGCATCAACTGGGAATATTACAATTTTTATAATTTTCAAAATTCATACGATCTGGCAGCACCCATAATGGCCACAGTCCGCTTCCTGGTCCGCCGCAGGATCATCGACTGTTATCGGCGTTGGTTAAGTACGGATTTGGTCACAGCTCTCCAACCGTTTTACCAAGCCATCCAGACGGATCGACTAGCTCGCAGTCCAGCTGAAAAGCGGGTCAATGAGGAGTCTCTGCGTCTGCTTAGCTCCCATCTGGAATCTTTGACAGGCACAACCGGTAGTTGCCTTCCGCCCGATGGCCAACTGGAGTTCTATATGCCATCGGGTTCGGATGAGGATGGTGGTCAGGAGGTAAGTCGCCTGGTCAGAGTGCAGGTGGATAGGAATCTGCTGGATCCTAGGGCAGTGATAAAGAATATCCTGAGATCCTGTAAGCTGTTGCCAAAGGGGAAGGAACCAGAAAAGGTGAAGCTGGTAAAACCAACGATTTTTTATCAAAAATTTCTTAAATATTAAAGAAAACCACTGAAATGTAGGGTCTAGAAATGGAAAAGGAGCTGGGAAAAGTGCTGAGGAAGGAGCAATCAAAACTGGGCAGGGAAAAGGTTCGACCGCCCCAGTCCGCGGCAGTCCAAAAGAACTTCAGTGCTTTTAAGGATCTCGTTAAGGAGGACCAAAAGGAGCACTCACTGGACACGTGGATGCGTCAGGCTCTGGCCAGATCCCAGGCCGCTGAAGTCACCACACTTCGCACCAAAATTGAGCAACTAGAAGGCTCTCTGATCCAGTCACTTGGCATTCGAGGCACTCGATACGATTGTGGCTGCAATATGGAGCGCTATCACGATTGCCTTAGGAGTCTCCAAGAGTTCTCGGAGGATCAAAAGGTTGCCAATCAGCTAGGTGTCTTGCGGAATCGTTTCTTGGTCTTCGCCCCGTACACTGGCATCAGTTTGGAGGGCGATGTAATGCTTTTCTCCGGCGATTCCCCATCAGGATGGTTGGCTTTTCTGTCCGAGATGCGTTTGCACGAGGAGCAGCTTAAGTTGGTGCCCTTGTATGAGAAGGCTTTATCCGCCGTGCTTCTTGGCATCCGCATAGAAAGACGTAAGGTCCCGGAACCTGGCTGTGAGGCCCGTGCCTATGCGGGCAGCTTGAAACGTGTCATCCGGGCGGTTAGTGAGCACCTGAAACTGGAGGAGAGTGTCCAGGAGCTGCCGCCATCGCTGCAGGATCATCAGTTGGCCATTGTGCCCGACAGTGATACTCCGAAAGTGAGTCAAACGGGTCTGTTCCTGGCGCCCGCCTCCTGTTCCGGACCCGATCTTGTGGAGTTTATATGCCGTAACCTGGATGTGGCCATTGGACGATTCAGTCGCTATCGCAGGGACATCCAGGTGGAGCGTCAGCTTTGGAGGCAGTGCCAAGAGGAGCTGGGCTTGCAGCGACTTAGCAAGGACGACTCCGTGACGCCTGATAAGATGGTGGTGGCCCTGAGGCATTTACTCCAAAGTGGCGTCAAGTCCTGCCGAGGTCTTAGCTTGCACATTACCAATTACTGGTCAGTGCCCACCGATGGCATCGTCTGCATTCCCTGGGACTTTATGTCCCGGGATAGATAGGAGATCCTGTTAAGTTGTGCCCCTTCCATTCAGAAATAAATTACTAAGTTTGGGTTTCGTATTGGAAGGTTTCTGTATGTTTTATTGATGTTTTGATTATATTTTTCTGCATTTAGTAATTGTTTATTCAACCAGTTTCCATTGTCTACGTTTTAGTTAGACATTTTCCTACATTAAGCTGCCAGGATGAATTTTCTTTTTTGCTTCATTACATTCCTTAGGCTTTTTGGGTGAACTGAATCCAGAAATGGGCATTCTCGTAAAAAAGAAGGAAAACAAACAGGACCAAACCAAAGTTCGCAACTCTTGCCTGGATGACTGGGATTTTCCTGTACTTTCCGTTCGCCGTTCCCTTCTGGGGTTGAACGTGTCCCTATACGACTTCTGTTGACACTACCCATCTCCATCCATTGCATCCCTGCAGAGAGAAAAATTTAAGTCAGAAAAAGAAAAATAAAAACATTATGTTTAGTACAGTAAAAACCAGTTACTTAAAAAAAGAAAACTTAAACTTTAGTTTTATATATTTAAAAAAATATTCGAAAAAGAACAGAAATCATAAAAATACACTTCGTAAGGATGTATGTATCCTTTCCCTGCTTTTCCCTGTGTATGGCGACCCTTTGAGCTATGTTTTCCTTTACAACCCCGAGAAGGGGCGAATGGGAGGTTGATACTTCTGGACCCTGCACCCTCCGTTTTCCCCATGCAGTGCGAAATTTTCTGTAAGATTTAGCTAATGTTCCATGGCTTCGCTCCATCAATGTCGTTGCGATGGGCATGGGGAGATGGTTCGGTTTGGCATGGTATGGTGAACCCGGAACTCCAAACCCAAAGCCGAGGCGAAGTTTGTCTGGTGTCGTTTATCCTCCTTGTGCCTCCCCCACCATTTCCTGCCTTTTCGCTTCCCAGACGCTGTCATCCTCCACCCGTACCACATTTTCCAACACACGTGTCCGTCGAGTGTCCACTGAAGGCTGAAGGCTTTTACTTCGTTTCAATTTGCTACCAAGTATCAGAAAATAACTCTCACATATCAAGTATCCTCCCAAAAGAATACTTTAATGAAAGCGAATTCGTGAAACCATTTTAAAGAAGCCCAGATGTTAGACTTACTCATATCTTTTATTTAAACTCACTTAATATGTCACATTATTCAGGGATCAGGTCCCAAAAAACTGAAACAAAGTGGCCTTGGCATAGAACTGTCAAGTCGATTTGCCTACCAGCTCAGCTCCTTAACCTCAGTTATACCTTTGCTCGCATCCAGAACACAAGTATAAATAAATATTTTTAAAACGTAAATTCTAAATTATTTTCATTGAAGTTTCAATTTTCAAAGATTTCCATTTCTCATTTTCAGTTTTATCTGTCTTCAAATCCAGTTACAATGGCAAAAGCTAAAGTAAGTCAGTGGATGGGTCAACTCCGTGACATGGGAAGAGTCCTGCGCTGGAGCTTGCCCTCTACTGAGAAGACCAGCTGGTCTCTATCCTGGTTCCAGGTGAGTGATTTCGCGATATAAGCCACAGTGTTTCTGAGAACGTTATTATTAGGTCGCCAAGAAGGCCTTACCCCTCTCGTCGGTTAGGAAGAACCCGTCCAAAGCCAACGCAGTTCCAACAACCGAAGTTATAAAGGAAGGTGAACAAGGCGATGGCTTGAATGGAATCCGTGACCTCCAGCAGCTCAACGAAGAGTCGATTGCAAAAATCGAAAGAGAGATGCAGGCACAGCCCCCAACAGGATTTATAAGCCGAGCCCTATTCTACCGCAGGATCTATTTCAAACGTTAAAGATCATCATGATCATTATGTCGAAATCAAAATCAAAATTCAAAGTAATTGGAATTAACGTAATATGAATTTTACAAACTGGACCTGGCATTTCGACTAAGCGAAGTGTTTTCAAGCCGCTTATGTAGCAAATCTTCCCAGTTCTTTAATACGAAAAATGTCTAAATTCTTATGGTTAAAATAATGAAATTTCAGATTTTCACCAGATATTTCGTAGATTTCTTGTTTTCTAAAAACCTTTTGAAACAGTCAGTAAACATTTATAAGTTTTTTATTTATTCAAATGGTCTTTTGTAATGCAATTACTCTTTACGATTACTGAAGAATGCAGTTTAAAAGGGTTAAACCGATTTAAAATCGACATAAAGGGTGTCTATATAGGAATAGATTCGTTTCATGTGCATTCATCCGAATTACAAGTGCTAAATATTCGATTTATCTTTTTTTTTTTTGCGTTAGTAAGAGCTTTGAAGCTCTTCTTGTTTTCATAGATTCGAGGCTCGTAAATCGGGGTAAGTTGAAGAGAGTTGAAAAGAGAGGTTAAAAGGGGTACTCGTACCCCCATGTGCGGCTGATTTGCACCATCATTAAAATCATCATCGTCAGCGTTTGTAATCTAATTTGCAGTCATCGCATCATCATCATTTGACCCCATATTCGTTGCTGGCCAGCTTGCGAGTGTCCTTTTCAAAAGTTTTACGCCCGGCATTCAATTTAAATGTGGTGGCCGGCCCTTCGAAGGGTGTGCATATTGTATGACCGACCCGACCCTTTGCTGTAGCTCAGAAACCCTAACTCAGACCCATGACAATCCCGTTGAGTGTCACTCTGAATAGATTTCGCTTTTGTGGGCTTATAACGCCGACAATAGAGGAGTCTAATGAAAGGGGGTGTGTGGATATTCGAGGCGGAGTTCTTTTCCTTAGAAGTTTACCAAAAATGGGTTACGATTCGTTAGCGGAAATTGAAATAATAAAATCTAAAAGCTACTACCAAGATCTTAGTTGGCAAGTGAATATTGCAATGAATTCGGTTGGTAAACTTAATTGATACGTTTAGTGTTTTTCCCAAGACTGCAGTTAAACTTAATCGATTGCATTTGAACTCGCACACCCCTTTGCCGTTTCAATCTCGCTCATTTGAATTTCTTTTATTGTACAGAATTGAGTTAGTGTATAGTTTAAATTAGTAAAATATACTTAGTATACTCTAGGGGAGACTGCTGCTTGCTCATTTTTATCTTAATGGTTACGAGTGATGGAGTGGGATGGTGCTGTAGTGCAGTGGAGTGCAGTGTCGGGGTTGGAAAACGGACATACGGAAATGTTATTCTCTGCAGTATTGCCGCAGCTGACTGTAGGAGCAACCTCCTTGCTTGCAGCAGGTACTGGCGACATTCTGCATATCTCGTTTCCTGCGCTTCTCAGAACTGGTGGCTTTAGATTGAAATTAAAAATGCAAGTTAGCAATGGGAGTTTTTTAAATCAGACATTAACTTACTGTAAAGGTCGCCGTGGCCTATTGTTCCTACAGCGGCACAGATCTCCTGTATTACATAACTGAGATTGCTGGAGCACATTACTCGCTTCTGGTCGTGGTCCGTGGGGGCCAATGGTACGGCCGTGACTTGGGGTACCCAACTGCTGATTAGTGCAACGACGGCGACTATGGTTGCCAGGACTAGCAGGATCTTGGACGATGGCACTTCGGGAATCATCTGCAAAATATACATTTCGTTAGGTATGGATGTCTGTTCTATCTTTAAGTTTGATTTTAACACTTTTTAACTTTCATTACATCTAATTAATAATTCTAAGAATGCCAAGCATATAGGTTATAAGTTAGCTAACCCACTGATACTCTATCTAATATCCAATTCAGGATAATCCCATCATTTCCACCCAATATGATGCTAACGATTTGCAACAAGGACATACCATACTTCTACCAAACCGGAGACAGATAACTCCCCCTTCTCTTCCGCCTTCCACACGCGTCTGGTGTCTCTTGGTTGGTTGGTTGGTTGACTGGCTGGTTGGTTGGCTCCCTTATCAGCGTTCAAATATTATTGTATTTTCCATTCGATTCTGTTATTGTTTGTGTCTGGGCTGGCCAGGAAATATATTTACATAAACTTCAGTGTTTAAAAATAACCCACCGCCGATTCGCTCGCTCGGCTCCCCACTTATCATTTGGAACATGAGTTCTTTTTATACACAATCAGAAAGTCAGAGTGTGACTCTGAGGAGGAGCAGTAGATGTGGTGTGGGGCTTGAGGCTTGGGGCTTGGGGCATGGGGCTTGTGCCCCATGTGGCTCTTGTTTTTGTTATTGTTATTGTTTGCCTTTATGACTCTCCTTTGGAAACTCGGTTTCCAACCACACTCTATATATAGTATGTGGTTCAATGTTTTTCCACTTCTCTCGCTTTCGTTTTCACAGCGATATGCGAGGGATCTATATATAGAAATCATACACCACTTACTTGCCTGATTTCGGTTAGTTTGTTTGTTTTGTTTTTTCGATTTTTGTTCTCTGCTCTCTGTTTTCAGTTTTCAGTTTTATGTTTTTTGTTTTTTTGTTTTCCATGGGAAGAACCGATCTTGGCTTGAGTTTTGTTTTCAATCTTGATAAGAATCGAGAAGAGGTTAAGGCTGTCTCTATAGACATGATAGGATGGTTCAAGGGGCTGCTGGTATTACACTTATTTTCCACATCCTTGATGGGTCTTGAACTTTCTCAGCAATCTTTTGGGGGCTTTGTTTTTACACAAGCTCTTGAGGGAGCTGCTAATTTATGAATGATTTGGTTGTTTTTCATTTGAAATCTCTTGTTTTTTAAATTGAAAAACAAGCCTGATAAGAGTTTGTCATACTTTATGGTTCTTGGAATATTATACATACTTTAAAGGAATTTATTAATGTACTTTAAGCAGAAACGTTGAACTTTCCCTTTTTTTTTGCAAGTATTATTCTGGAAATATAGTTTCCTAAAGATAAAGAGTTTCCTACAATAATCTAGACCTGAATAAAGTTTTTACCATTACGATTGAGACTTACATTAGCATGCTGTTCTTTCCGGGTTGTGACGGTATTTATTGGATTCCTTTGTAGTCTTCGATGTATAAAGATCGATGCGTTGATATATATATATGTATATTGTAGCTCGATGTAAATGTATATATATTTATATATCTCCAGGCGCTCTCTTTCCTTTTTTTGTCTTCAGAGTTTCTATCGGATTATCACTTGCTTAAGGAACTTTCTTTTTTGGTAATTTGCAGATTTTCTTTTGCGATCACACAGTTTCAAAATCACAATCAATTGACGAAAAAAAAAAAAAAAACAAAACAAAACGACTAAAAATAGGGGATAATTTTGCTTTTTGATTTTTTTTTTTGGTGGGTTTGTAGGTTGGGTTTTAAGGTTTTTCGAGGTTTTGTACGTGCAAAAAAAAAACGAATCGATAAATATCCGCGAGCTTTGAGTTTGAAGAACGGTTAATGTCCTTTGGCTATCGATTGGCAATTGGAGTGCGGGCAATCGAACAAGTGGTTAACTTCTGCTGCGGCTGCTGCGTTTTCGACTGTTGCTGTTGCGGCTGTTGCTGTTGCTGTTGCTGTTGCTGCTGCTGCTGCTGCGTCCACTAGTTGTTGTGGCATCGCGTGAAGTATTGTGGCAGGAACAGAAGAGTGCGGGTATATGTGACTGACCGCAGGAGAACGAGGAGGAGAGAGTGAATGGGAAAGACGACTGAGAAATATAGCGATTTGTAGCGGTATTCCGCTGACGTTGCGACTGGCTTGGAATTGGAAACGCTTTTGGAAGTTGGACGCTTGAATGCTGGAACGTAAAGCTGCCGTTTTCTTGGGAGTACCACGTATTCCTATCTTTAGCGATCACCCGCCGCTCTCTTTCTCTCTCATTCGCTTGCTGCGATTCACTTCTCTCACAGTTCGTCCTTATCTCTATCTCTTTCTGTGGGAGAGCGTAGAATCAACAGCTGTTTGACTCCCTCTAATTGTTTGTTTGCTGGTGTTTGTGGTTGTTTATTTTTAGACCATCAGTGGTGCCTATAATTAGAGGGTTTCTTATCTCTTCTCTCCCGCCACTTTCTTCCACCTTCCCCACCCTTTCAATTGCACTCTTGGCGAACTCCTCCCTCGCCCGATCGCCTCGTTCGGAAGAACGTTCTACACACTGTCTTTCTTCCGCTTTCCACGCTTTTAATTGCACTCTCAGCGAATTCTTCGCTCGCTCGCTTGGAAGAACGTTCTTCGTTGTTTCACAGCCAAATTGGAAAAGAACCGTTGCCGAGACGCCAGAGCAAAACGAAGCCTCACTTTACGCGCGTGTGAGTGAGAAGGGAAGATGCAGCGAATGCGAAAGCACGTGGACTGCAGGTGGAAGAGCGAGAGAGACCACAGCCATTGGAAGCAAAGTCCAGTGTCTTGCAAAAAGAAAAAAAGAAAAAAAAAACCCACACAGTAAACGCAAACAAATGCTTAAAATTAAACAATTTGCCGGCCATGACACATTCAATCAACTTTGGGTCACCGTGGGGCCGAGTGTTTGCGTGGGGTGTGTGGGTGTTTGAGAGCGTTAATACAGGCCAACATCTATACATTGGACTTTTATGGGTCAAGTTGCATAGAAGTGATGGGTTCCTGGGTTTACCCATAAACCTTTCCCTGGTAGTATTATATGGGTTGCAATATCGAAAAGTAAGGTTAGTATCTTGTATCTCAAACTTAAAGTTTATGTCACGTAAATTTCGAATGATAATATCCCATTATCAGCAGGTTTCCTGTTCCTATTTAATTGCGTTTTGATTTGTTTGACTTGAGGCTGAGCTTGCAAATTTCGGATTTTTTATCGCATATTATATTCATTGAAAGATGAATCATACTGGGACTATAGTAAGCACATTTTATGGCTACAAGAGCCCTCTTTTCGCTAGCCCAAAATGATGCCAAGATAAAACCTGATATAGAAGATGATAGTTCGGGTTAGGAAAGTCTGACTGTATAACCATACAATGGAATAATCATATTAATAAGATCGTCTTTGAACAAAGTACATACCAACATCGTGCCAGTGTGAGTGACAAATGCACACAGCAACAAAAAGCACAACAACAATAAATAGAGTAAATCCATCAGTGGAAAAGCAGCATCCAATCCACGCTCTATATAAGTACATATGTACATACACTTGTTGATTTTCATTTTCCCTATTAACGTTAACGCTTCGTCAAAGCGACAAAGTTCAGTCGCTTAGATGACTCCAAACTATCGCTCATGTATATGGGCTCGTGTGCTCGTATATGACATGGTATTTCCGTAACCCCTTGCCCCCAATTTCAACAATTATAATTGATTACTGTTAACTAAACTGCAAGTCTTCAATTGGTTATAATAATAATTGTTAATTTGTTTATATTTGTAGAATGATATCAGGTTGTAGCCATTTTGATAAGGAAATGCCATGATTAGCTTTTCAATTACTAGAACTGGATCTGTTCTTGAAGACCCTGGAATTATCCTATATGCCACCAGATATAGCCTATATATGTACTAGGTCTTGGGCTTGGCTTGGCTTGGCTTTTAGATAATGATTCGGCGATAAGCTTGTTGATGTTTTTGTTGTTGCTGGAACTGCGACTTCGAGTGCAGCCGATGAAGAACGGAAGCCAATGGGGCAGCCCAAAAGGGGGGCGGTACGGGTCTGTGGGCGTACAGCGTACGCTGTACGTCCGTCCGTCCATCAGTGAAAAAACCGTAAACAACGGCAACGTGAATTTGTCGTGATCTAGTTTCGATTCAAAATAAAAGATCCCTATTTTTAGCATTAATCTCGACTCTCCGCCGAGGAAAACAACATAGCTAAAAGAGAGAAAGAGAAGAATACAGACAGAAGGAGTGGTGATTGCGGGAGGGAGGCGAGATAAGCCAAGGCTTGTACAGACATGCATACTGAGAAAAATAATATCAAAACATCCAAATTGAATATTTCGGATATTCATCCTATCGATCCCCAACACCAGAAACTCATCAATCCTTTTCAATTTTCTTCAAGCCAAAGGTATTTTTCACGAAAAGCTCCGTTTTTCTCTGCGTGTAGGAAAGCCATCTGTTGTTTTGGGAGAGACAATCGGAGGCGGCGATTGGAAATGGGCGGAGGAATCGGGATCTGATCTGAGCGCCATGAGCAATACGCAATGCAGGCCAGAGTCCAAGGTGGGAAGACCCACACGGGAGGCACGCCACGTCAGGGTCAACGATTCGATTTGGAACGATAACCAAACGATGGGTGAATGGATCGATAGGTAATGCTTGTATAGTACATAGTACGATCCTGCCAATAATGGGTAAAGAGAAGAAGGATAATGGTTTGGAAAACTTATCTATTTTAAGAATTCGAAGTAAAGTACGATACTGATAACCAATTGAGTCAAGGATCAATGGCAGGTGATCGATATTTTCGATAGATCGATTTCACCCTGAAGCTGGGAAAACAGACTCTTGGTTTTTTCCTCTAGCCAGAGGTTGAGATAAGCGACAAGTGGGAGGCGCCACACCCTTTTTCGTGGGAGTGCTCGGGTGGCTGGAGGGGTTTGACAGTTGCGATCGAGCGAATATTGTTTACTTGTGCTAAAATTGGATCTTCATTGATTGACATTTGCGGCAATCGGGCGCCAACAACACAAGACATCGGGGAATCTATAGCTCCGACGCAGATTATTGACCCAGAAGCGTGGAGGAGGTTTGTTGTTGATACCAAAAGCCTAGACATCGGCGACAACAGTCTGCAATCGTAATATATATGCAACAAAAATAACAATAATAACAAATCAAATTCCCATTCTAGCGAATTGAACTTTGCAATTAAGTTGCAAGTTCCATCGAATCAACACTCATTGGAATTTCTTTGATCGAGCTTCTAATGAATGTCCTGGCTTTAGTTTAGTAAGTAAATATTTATTCCTAAGCATCATTCATTCTGTTTAAGTTTCCTTTGGCTTATCACACGTTCATAAATATTATGATGATTCATAATAAATTGTTGTTAAGGAATGTTCCCATTCACATTATGTTATATTTCCGAATAAGATGAGTAACATAACAAGCTTTCATTTGAATTTCTTTCGTTGGCAACACTGCTTAATCGCCACTGCAATTCCAAAGTATTTTCAATTACAATTCACTTAATTAAAAGTAACTTCCATTTTGATTCAGATATACAGAGTATAAATATCACCTGTGTGTCCTATTCGATTTGCATTTAAATATTCAAGATTCTTGAGCTTTTTCCTTTTTTCTTTTGACTTTTTTGGGGCATTGTGAAAAAACAGCTCACGAAATTATCGCCCGATGTCAATAAACTGTCGCCAACGACCCCAAAAAAAGCAACAGCAGAAGTGCGAGGGAAGCTGATGGGTGGTTGGGTGGCTGAGATGAGGAGCAAAGAGCAACAATCGAGAGAAGCAGCCAGCAGCGGGCATAGACACACATTTTTCGGGTATTTTTTCCTTTTCTCTTGGCCTTAACTTTGGGGCCGGTGGGTGGTGCTCTTCAGCTGCCAATGAACTGCAATCGGTTAAGAGGCCTCAAGGTCAACGCCTGGCACACAAAACGCCAACACCACGAGTGGTTCAAAGAGTGATGAACTGGAATTGAAGCCACCAAAAACCAGCAAGACCTTGAACTCAATGAACACCCAAAAATTGCACAAATTAACTAAGTTTATTTCTTTAATTTAATCTACAAGACCAATTTCTAAATTCAACAATCATTGTGAATCAGGGAATATAGAAATTATCCTATAAAGTGAACATTTTGCTTTAAAAAGTATAAGAAAGTTAAATTAAACGATCAAAAATCTTGAATCTATGACTTTATATTAGCAAATTAATTACAAGTAAAGCTGTGTCTGTGACCATTCAAAGAATTTACACGTCTAATGAATTAAATTCAATGGAATTACTACGAGTATAGGCTGAAACTGTTTGTTTACTCGGCATTTCAAGGTTGGTTTGATTTTAGTTCACCCGTCAATGAAATAGGAACCACTGACCCACAAAACCCATCTCTAATCTGTTTTCCCGGACTCTCCGACTCTTTGACTCCCGTAACCGTCTTCGTATTCGTAATCTGAGGGGGCGGTCGGGGGAATCGGGAATCGGAAATCGGGAGTTGGGGAACTGTCTGCCATCCGTCTGGCCGGCTGGTGACCTTGAAAAACCCCCTCGAAAGACCCGAAAAACCCAAAGGGACATTGCACCCACAAAAAATGAGTGTGTGTCCCGGTGAACTTTCACCCCGAGCTTTTCCATTTCCCATGAAACAGAAGCCAGCGAATCACTTAAACGGCGCGTGGTCACAAGTTGTAAACAAAATCGAGTTCACTATATGCCAGACTATATATGTATATGAATATGAGCATATATATTATTTACACGCATGTATTACGAATAAGTAGTCATGCGATTAGGAGTGCGATTTCAAAACAAATCATTAACCGCATTTCAATCATTTTCATCAATTAATCATTGACCAAAAAGCAATTCTTGAAAAGCATCTATATTGACATCAATTCTATCTACAGTACGACTCATAGCTAACTCTGAGGTACTCTATCTACTCCCACGATCTTGTCATTTCGAAACGCACTGTTTGCCATGCATACTTTATATAATTATGCCAATTTAGATTGTAAACAATTTTACAAATAGTCGCAATAACAATTAAAACTGATTTGCTAGTGATTAGAGCCCAGCAGCGAGATTTTCAGAGTTCCATGAAGTATCTTGGCGATTTACGGGGAAAGAAGAACAAGGAGCAACACAAGGGTATCGGAGTGACCCGGTTCCAATCTTTCAATCTTGCAATCTGTTCGATTTCCCACGTGGCCAGCTTTTTAACAATCGTTATGGGAAATCATCTGCTTATCTATCAGGGAGCAGGGATCAGGAATCAGTCATCGCTTGCATTTTGAAACCTTCTAGGATTTTGACTTTACTTGATTTATTAAAAAGTTTCTAGCTTTGTGGATGTGTGCTAGTCGATGTGTGCTTACACTTTGAAAAGTCAAATTTTTGCTATTTTTCGGAAAAATTATGAAAAATTACTTATCGAAAATACGAAAATTTGTTACTCACATTTTTCTCCTTAAGACGAAATTATTGTGTCCATAACTATGACAGTAATGGCCCACATATGGAATGTAATAGCTCGTTGAACATGTTTTTTAAATCTTAAATCTTAAAATTTTAACATTTTTCGGAAAAAAGATGAAATGTGAAGTTTGGCTTATGAAGTTTTTAATTAAAAAGTAAAAATATGATGATTTTTCTTTTAAAAGTGCTAAGAAATTATACAAGTATTTAATTTTGAAGATATGAAAGTTCTGAATACACATAAATTCAATCAATTAAAAAAAATTTATTTCCTTTGTACATATTTGAAAGTGCGAATGTTAATAACGATTTTTGAGAATTCAACTCGCGCACTTCCCTGTAGCAAATTCAAAGGCAGCGGAAACGTTATAATCCACATAACTATCGATATACGCATACTACTATCGAAATTCTTTATTGGTAGCATTATTTCCTTGACGATTTAGTTGATTTGTATTTTAGTAATTTACTAGTTAGCTTGTTAAGTTAAAAACATGTAAAGCTGATTTGAGGCATGGACTGACCACAGAAGATGCCCAAGGTGGCCAAGGTAAGTGTTCAAAAGGCGTCTAGCAAACCAAACGAGAAATTAAATCTAAAATTTCAACAGGTGTATTTCACGGTGGAGCAGGTTAACGGGATGCTCCAACAGCTGGGTGACAAGGAAAAACGTCCTCCTGGAGACTCCAATTCGATTCGGGAGATTTGAAAATAACCGCAGAGGGCCAGATTTAGTGGAAGGAACAAGTTAACTCAATAAAACTCCGCAGTGACAGTTTAAATTTGAATTTAATTTAGATTAATTTAAAGGCATACGGTGACTTGAAATATTTTTAAGCAAAGTTCTTACTTTAATTTTTATTACTTTGAGGTCACTCCTCTACCTTTATAGTTTTAAACTCATTCATCTCAACTTACTTGGCCCTCAGCAGGAGAGTAAAAGCTGAATAGGTGAACCGAATGACCTGGTATAAAGTAGATAGATATTGGTGTACGGAATAAAGGATTTCTAAGGATAGAATACATCACCTGCTCGAAGGTCTCCAGTGAGAGTGCTATGTAGTAGCCTGCGTATATAAGCGAAGGCCTTTGTGTTCTGGCCAGAGTGAAGAGCAGATCCCTCTTGAACTTGGGCAGCTGATCCACCCAGTTGCAGGCGTAGAAGGCATCACACAACGCCTCGCTCTGAGTCCGCATCCTGTCCCCAAAGTAGCAGATGACAAACACTTCCAAAGTAACGGCCGTAAAGAAAACAATTGAGATTATCATGGCCGTGAGGTCGTTGTCATCCGCCATATAAAGGAAGTGCATGGCCACGGTGCACTGGACGGCGGCGGAGCATGCGAACTGGGCCATACAGGCCACAGAAAGAACGCGCTGGATGATCTCCCTTAGCCGATAGACTCGCATTAGATCACGGATGCACTCAACCAGCTCCTCGTACACCTCTTCCCGCCAGGAATCGTAATCTTCTTTGAAGTTGTCCGGCAAATAGCCAATCCGTCGCACTCTCAGCTCCAAGGCACGCATGTGGCCAGTGAGCAGGCAGAGAAACGCAGGCGGATAGGAATCACTGGCACAGTTCTGAATAGCCTGCACCACCAATCCAAAGAGTTGGTAGATATAAATGATCACATAGTTTGTGGTGGAGTGCATCCAGTCGATGCCGAACCATGCCGGATACAGGAGCTCCCTTTCCGGACGTAGAAACCCACGGATACAACTTAAGGTGGTACCAAAAACAAAGATCCGGGCGAAGGTTCGAAAACTGCCCTGTGCAATGTCCACTTCTCTTCTTAAGGCGGATAGTTCCTCGGGATCTCCTACACGCCTGGCCCTTGAGTCCATTACCTTTAAGAGCGAACGAATCTCATAGAGCTGTTCCCTTACCAAGAACACATTCACGAACTTTAAATTAGCCACAATATCCGTAATGGTAATGGTCAGGTTCTCGCACATTCCGGCCATGTTGGTGGTGAACAACAGCCGGGCTAAGAGGCTCAAGGGAAACAGCACGGTTACCACCGAATTGATCACTATGGAGTACACCAGATAACCAAACCGAGATACTCCCGCAGGACACATAAGGCCAGTGAGCTCCCAAACGCGCCAGTGGTAATATAAGGCACTGTGAGTGTCCAGCTTAGATTGCCCTTCCATTGCCATGATCCTGCTTACAATTGGGCTGAACCAAGGAGTCTTATAGCTTTTATATTCCAGCGATTATCTGTGATTGCGCTATTACATGTCTTGTTGGACCAACTTTTTGGCTAAGTGCCTGGGAAAAGTAGCCATTGGCCCAATATAATGATCCCAAAGTAAAAGTTTTCAAAGTGATATTAGTTTTTGTTGGAAATCTTTCTTTATTCTGCATTATTCTTCATTGTTGTGGAGATGGGGTGAGTGTTGGTAGTGTCTATATGGTATCATTTAACAATTAGGTCCAAAAGCACCCGACAAGCAAGGTCAAAGGGCTATAATCTATTATATTTAGTCTTAATAATCCCTATTTTCCATTATGTTATTTAGCTACCTGAGGGTTATGTCTCTCCTCACTGACTATATATGATATCTAGTTTATATCCAATTAGGTTTTTAACGTGCTAACGAACAGATAGGGTCTACTATCTATCCGCATATCTTAGAATTACTTGTACTCTTCCGATTTTGCAGTCAGTTGAGTTATTGCTAATTGAGGGATCGCTGTTAACTGATTTGTTTGTGTGGAAATTGGTGCTACATTACTGGCTAAAAAGACAGTTTAAAGTGAACGTTGAGTCTAACCAGAATATACTTAACTATGTCTTTCTCGTTTGTTTCTGAATTTCAAAGCCAGCAAATCATAACTAAAGGTTTATTTACACAGTCCGATTTTCAAAGTAAATATATGAAATATAAGTGACCAGTTATTATTGCAAACTGAGATATCAGACTGTGTAAATACAGGCCGTAATTGAAAGCTATTTATGTGAGAGTTTATACAATATACAACGGGCCCTGCAACTACACGCTTTACATTCGCTAGTCCTAGCCGCTTTAAGGTTACTTGTCAGGTTGTCATCTAGATCCTCGAGCTCGAGAGCATTATTATTCTATTTTTTTTTTTGGTAGGGGTAAACAAGGGGGACTGAGGTCAGGGTCAGGGAGTCGGGAACAAAGAACACAAAAACAAATCCATAGATGCACACAATCGAGAACACTTTCACAGAGTGATCTTAATTTGTAATTTTTAAGAATTAATTTAAAAATACAATCAAGTGGTGTAATCCAAGGCTTACAGAGTGCTATTGGCCCGTGTGCTTGAAATCGGCGTATAATAATAATCAAATAATTTTGCTTTTCAAGCACACGGGTAGCGAATATGAAATATAATTAACTATATATTATCAATATATACGAATATATATAAATATAAGGGTGTATAATAATGTGTACAAATAATTGATATTGCCGCTGTTTAGAATTAAATAGAAAAAATGTTTTTTGAATAAGGAAACTGTTACGTTACGGTTACATTTCAATTCTCTACTTTACGTTACGGTCACAATTAACAATAATCGTTAGATGAGTGAATCGTTATGCATTATTCTTTAACGTAATCTTTATAATTAGAATTTCTTCCACATAATCATCGCTGGGCTTGTATTTAATATTATCGTTATTAAGCTCAGTTCTCAGTCGCAAAAGCAACGTGTGACAAAAGCACCTCCTCAGGAGGAGGATGTGTGTATAACCGATCTTGAGTCGGGATCTTGAGTTCTATACGTCTTCATTTGTCAGACCCTTGCTCTTGCTCGCTTTTCTCTGTTTTCATTTAGTTTTAGTTTTGCACTGCTTTTGTTTTGTTTTTAGATTTAATGTTCTGCGAGTCGACCTGATCTTGATTCGGTTCGATTCGATTTGATTCGGTATTCGGTTTCGGTTGCATTGGCTGCCTAGGGATTTGGAATTGTTGCATCTTTAGCGCTTCCGGCCTGAGGGGCGGCGCTCTGATTTGAAATTGCGTTTTCTTGGGTTTTGTCTTTGTCTGACTTGGCATCCTGCAAAAGAAATACGAGTATTGCCAACGGGTTTCAAAAGCCATTTTTTCAAGTGTGTGAATAGAGCTCTCAGATCTGTTTTCGTTTTCAAATGCATTTTGCCAGTTTCTCTGACCGTTTTCCCAAGAAACAGGCCTTGGAAACCCGCAAAAATAACAAAGTTTTAAATTGATCAAATAATATGTTTTTTTTTTGTAATTTTTTAAGCTAATATCTTTTATAACTAAACACGTTAGAAAAATGTGAAAATGAAAACCGTTAAAGTTTTAAATGCTGAGGCTCGTTTAGTTAATAAGTATTTATAAATCAAGGCTATTAAGTTACTAAGAGTGCATTTAATGATGCAACTGCAGCTGCCACCTAAAAAGTCAAAATGTTAATATTAGTTTATCAAAATTGAATACAAAGTGGCAACCATGTATGCAAGATCTAAAAATAATTATTATTGATCTGTGAAGTTCTTAAGACTTTGTACAGGTATTCCAAATAAATTTTCTCTTTTGCGGATTTAAATATTCGTGCCAAGGAAACCGAAGGTGAAAATTTGAGTGGTCGCAACCTGCTGTTCCGCAGCTCTAGGAGATTGTAGGTGTAGTTCAGCAGATTGCGGATCACTTTCTCGTTCTCTTTGCTTTCTTCTCATCCTACCTGGGAAACACATCAAAGAGGGACGGGACTGGGAATCACAAATAACATTATGGGGCTGCAAATCGATTTTAGCCGAAAACGAAATTGTAGCCGGTATCGATGTGCATCCCTGAAGGGATACATTTAAAGCGAGACACCTGCTTGGGAGGAAAGTTAAGACTCTAGGGATCTATGCTCACCTTGGCCTTGACGCTGGCTGCCTCCTGCTTAAGGTATTCCTCTCGTGCCGCCTCGTAGAGGTTAACAAACTTGTCTCGCTGCCCCCTGTACTGGGAAAAGAGTTCGTCGTCCTTGTGGCCCTTCAACCGGTTTTCAATGTCCACTTTCTTGTCGTGCTCGATGCGAATCTCCTCCGTGACCCAGGGCTTGTCGATAGGATACTGATTGATCAGATTCTTTAAGGTCTTAATAGAGTTCTTTCCCTTCACCGCCTGCTTGATAAGCTTGGGATTGGGCTTCGTAATCCTTCCGCCGTTCATGTTCATTGGTCCGAAAGGTCCGCCTAGTGGCATACCTCGTGGTGGCATCCGCGGACCCATCATGTGCATAGGCGGTGGACCACCCATCATGGGACCCGGACCGGGTCCATTCCGTCGCATAAAGTGCGGGGGCGGAGGCGGTGGTGGTCCACCCATAGGCGGCATAGGGGGACCACGCATACCGGGCATCGGTGGCTGAAAAGGCATCTGCGGATAAGGGCCTCCGGGACCCATGGGTCCGAGTCCACGTGGTCCAGGACCCATTGGTCCCATTGGCGGACCCATCATGTGACGTGGGGGTGGGCGGTTTGGAGGGGGTCCGCGCTGGAACCCATTGAAGCGGTTCTGGTTGAGATTGTTTCCCGGAAAACGCTGCCAGTCGCCGCCGTTAATCTGGTGGTTGAAAGGCTGCATTTGGCTCATTTGTTTGTTATTTGGGCTGTTCATTTTTCCCTGCTGCTGGTTCGGATTGGGATGCTGCTGCTGTTTGATGCCCTTTAAGGGCCTTTTCTTCAGACCGTCGCCTTGATGTTTGTTTCCAGGTGCCGGACTGTTGAAGTCGATGTACAGAGGATCGCTGGGCATTTGGCTGGATGAGAACATCATCTGATTGTTGCCATTGCCATTGGTTCCATTGCCGTTACCATTTCCACCTGGTCCGGAAATATTGTTGCCCGGACGGAATGGTTTTCTATACGGAGCTGCTGCTGCACGGGGATTATTGTAATTATTATTATTATTGTTGATGCTCTGATTATTTCGCTGCTGCGGATGCTGGTTTTGCTGCTGCTGCTGTTGATACTGCGGATGCTGCTGATACTGCTGCTGCTGCTGTTGCTGTTGCTGCGGGTGGTGTTGCGACTGCATGGCCCGATTTGGCTGGAATTGGTTCTTGGACACCATTGCAGAGCGAAATTTAACTGAAGAGGAGAGGGTCAGGACTCAAGGACAAAGAGTCTAATCGGAACAACAAGCGGAGAGCGAACTTATCTTAAAATTACGCTTAGTTTGTAACAAAAAAAATTCTATATGAAAAATTGCGATCTGTTTCCCGACAGCACTATAGTTTCGATAGCTGCGACCAGGTACATCGATATTTTTTTGACAATCGTTTGAGAAAAAATATCAAGTAAATAAAACCTGATACAAGTCTCTTGTCAGATAAAAATATAACATATATAGTTTCTATAAATATTTTTACTGTTACACATTTAAAATAAAATCAATCGAAATATCGGCAATGCTGTCATCGATAAGCTTGTTATCGGCGCTGCACGTGTGGTTTAGCACAATGTTTTCTTTTTTAAATAAATATTAATATTACCTTATTAATAATATAATTAAAGGAATCATGGGCAAGAAAGTGCATAATGCCAAGGCGCGGCAGAATCCACAGACCATTGTGGACAACTCGGCTGTCAAGAAGGTTTGAAATCTGTAAATATAAACCAGCTTGAATCCTTATCCGTACAACCCATTCTCGTACAGATTCAAATCGATGTGGATGCAGTGGCTGGCGTCAGCAAGGCAGGCTACGATGAAGCCAACGCTCTGGTGTTGCCCTCCGAGAAGCGAGCCACCAAGATCAAGGTTGACAAGGTGCAGCACGTGAAGATTCTCACCAAAAAGCAGCGCAAGCACCTACAAGCGATTGTGGACAAGAAAAAGAAGAAGGAGGGGGTAGGTTTCACACTTATGAAAATAAAATAAAATCACTCAAACCAATCTTATCCTATTTAGCGCGCCCAACTCTTGGGGGATCTGGCAGCCGTGCAAATCCCGGAGGCGGAGTTGCAACAGTACACATCCATCAGCCAGGTGCAAACGGTGGGCCTGAAACGCCTGCCTACCCTGGATGAATATCTAGCTAAAAAGAAGGAGAGACAGGCACAAGTGCTTGCCGAAAAGTCTTCGGGATCGGGTCCCCGTGTGAATGCTATTAAGGGTTCCAAGCGCAGGCTACTCGCCGAAGAGGAGGAGGAACTGGAGGCTAAGCGCAAGAATCCGAATGTGGTTAGCTTAGAGGATGACTACGAGGACACCTCTGATGACGAGGATGATGAAGAATCATCTACGCCTGCTCTGCCTGCTGCCATACCCACTCCAGTGGCTGCTCTTCCACCAAAAGTCGAAGTTAAACCGCCCAAAATAACACCCAAACCAGAATCTGCCCCACCTGCCTGCATTCATCAGACCGTCTACGTGCCCGTACATCGTTCCACTGAAGTGCAGGAAGCCCGTCTTCGTCTGCCTATCCTTGCGGAGGAGCAGCAGGTTATGGAAACCATTAATGAAAATCCTATTGTGATCATCGCGGGCGAGACGGGGTCTGGAAAGACCACTCAGTTGCCGCAGTTCTTATATGAGGCTGGCTACGCCCAGCATAAGATGATCGGTGTGACGGAACCGCGTCGAGTGGCTGCCATAGCCATGTCCAAGCGAGTGGCCCACGAAATGAACCTACCGGAGAGCGAGGTTTCCTATCTCATTCGCTTTGAGGGAAACGTTACTCCGGCGACTAAAATCAAGTTCATGACCGATGGTGTGCTGCTTAAGGAAATCGAAACTGACTTCTTGCTTAGCAAGTACTCAGTGATCATCCTGGACGAGGCTCATGAGCGTAGTGTTTATACAGACATACTGGTGGGCCTGCTCTCGAGGATCGTTCCATTGCGTCACAAACGGGGCCAGCCGCTAAAGCTGATCATCATGTCCGCAACGTTACGAGTAACCGATTTTACGGAGAATACACGACTGTTTAAGATTCCACCACCGTTACTGAAAGTCGAGGCTCGGCAGTTTCCGGTGACCATTCACTTCCAGAAGCGAACACCAGATGACTATGTGGCGGAGGCATATCGCAAGACCTTAAAGATTCACAATCAGCTACCGGAAGGCGGCATCTTGATCTTCGTCACGGGACAGCAGGAGGTCAATAAGCTGGTGCGCATGCTTCGACGCTCGTTTCCATATAAGCCGCCAGCCAAGGATGTGCCGCAAAGTGCTGAAGTGACTTCGGTAAAAACCACAGAGGAAGTAAAAGATGATGCGAGTGAGAATGTAGAGGATCCAAAGGAGCTAGAGTTTGACATGAAACGGGTTATTAGAAATATAAAGAAGTCAAAAAAGAAGTTCCTGGCCCAAATCGCTTTACCTAAAATCAACCTGGACGACTACAAGCTTCCTGGTGATGATACGGAAGCGGACATGCACGAACAGCAGGATGAGAATGAAGGAGAGGATGGATTAGACGAAGATCTTGATGATGACGAAGAACTAGGTCTAGATGAGGAATCGGGAATGGGCTCCGGCCAGAAGCAACCACTCTGGGTATTGCCCCTCTACTCGCTGCTCTCCTCTGAAAAGCAGAACCGCATCTTCCAGCCTGTTCCAGAGGGCTGTCGGCTGTGTGTGGTCAGCACCAATGTTGCGGAGACCTCGCTTACCATTCCGCACATCAAGTATGTGGTAGACTGCGGTCGCCAGAAGACTCGTCTCTATGACAAACTGACTGGGGTGAGTGCATTTGTGGTAACCTACACATCTAAGGCTTCCGCGGATCAGCGCGCTGGACGAGCGGGTCGTATCAGCGCCGGCCATTGCTATCGTCTCTACTCAAGTGCCGTGTACAACGACTGTTTCGAGGACTTTTCCCAGCCGGATATCCAAAAGAAGCCAGTCGAGGATCTAATGTTGCAGATGCGCTGCATGGGCATCGATCGCGTGGTGCACTTTCCCTTTCCCTCACCACCGGATCAGGTGCAGTTGCAGGCAGCCGAACGCCGGTTGACTGTGCTAGGTGCCCTAGAGGCTACCAAGTCGGAGAAGACGGATTTGCCACCAGTTGTCACTCGTTTGGGCCATGTTATCTCCCGTTTCCCCGTGGCGCCGCGCTTTGGCAAGATGCTAGCCTTGTCCCATCAGCAGAACCTGCTGCCTTACACAGTCTGCTTAGTGGCCGCACTCTCAGTTCAGGAGGTTCTAATAGAAACGGGTGTGCAAAGGGATGACGATGTTGCGCCCGACGCGAATCGCTTCCACCGTAAACGCCAGAGCTGGGCAGCCAGCGGTAACTACCAGTTGCTCGGAGACCCAATGGTCTTATTACGCGCCGTCGGAGCTGCGGAATATGCCGGATCGCAGGGAAGTTTAGCAGAGTTCTGTGCCACAAATGGATTGCGACAGAAAGCGGTCAGTGAAGTTCGAAAGTTGCGCGTCCAGTTGACCAACGAGATAAACTTGAATGTTAGCGACGTGGAGCTGGGCGTGGATCCCGAACTGAAGCCTCCCACAGATGCACAGGCGCGGTTCCTTCGACAAATTCTACTGGCTGGCATGGGCGACCGCGTGGCTAGGAAGGTTCCTCTGGCCGATATTGCTGACAAAGAGGAACGACGGCGGCTAAAGTACGCCTACCATTGTGCCGACATGGAAGAGCCAGCCTTCCTGCACGTCTCTTCTGTGTTGCGTCAAAAAACACCAGAGTGGGTAGTCTACCAGGAGGCATACGAACTGCAGAACGGCGATTCCACCAAGATGTTCATCCGCGGCATCACCGCCATCGAACCAGAGTGGCTGCTTCTCTATGTTCCTTTGCTTTGCAACATACGTGAGGTACGCGAAGATCCCGCTCCCAGATTCGATAAGACTTCTGGCAAGATCTACTGTCATGTGGACGCCACGTTTAGTAAGTCAGGCTGGGAGCTGCCACTTGGCGAGGTTGAGATGCCGCTCAGCGAGAAGTCTTGCTGGTAAGTGTATTAAACATTGACCCTTGCATCTCAACCAAATAATATATTTATTTAACATTTTCAGTTACTTTGGCATGTTTCTGCTAGATGGTCAAGTTTGCTCTAGGTTAGCTGACTTCCGGGGAAAACTGAAGTCCACACCCGCCTCTGTAATCAAAAGCTGGTCCAGCATGAACGACAAGGTGCTTCGCTTCAAGCGAGCTCTCATATCCAAACAGATCCACAACCGTCAGGCGCTGCTCGACCAGTGGATAAGTGATCCTCACTGTAAGCTTCACTGTCTTCCGAACATAACTTGATACTAATCCATTATCTTTTTAGTCCTTTTGGAGGAGTACCAGAATCTGCTGTACGACGTGGCCCTCAGCGAACTGACGCCTCTGTGGCCACCAGTTGACGGAAAAGCACCAGAAGGTCAATCAAAAAGCTAGGTTTCATTTATTATTTATTTAATTGACATATACTTACATTTTTTTTTATGTATAATTTGTTTTAAATGAAACTAAAATAATGAATGAGTGAGAGGTATAAACCATTTTTTTTTTATTAATGTTAATGTTTATAATTAATCGTATTCATTTTTCTGGTTGTAAGAAATTAGCAATTACCCTTGTCTTTATGAGAGATTTGCCTAGTTAGGAATGTGACTATATAGTCGGTATATCCCTAAGTTAAATGAAATCACCTTTTTATTTACAAAAACAATTTAAAACGGACTGTTTGCCATGTACACTGTATATAATGATGCCAATTCAGATTGTAGACAATTTTACAAATAGTTGCAATAACAATTAAGACTGCTTTGCTTACGATTAGAGCCGATCAGCGAGATTTTCAGAATACCATGTAATATCTTGGCGATTCACGGGGAAAGGAGAAATGAATGGTATCGGAGTGACCCGGTTCCAGTCTTACAATCCTGTAATCTGTTGGTTTCTGGTTAAAACCAAATCAAACCATTGCACAGAAGATTTCCGAAATGCTATTTCCTGGAGTCGACACAATACATCTATGACGTCGATTGAAGATTATGGAAATCTTCCGTCGTGGGTGGTTCATAGAAAGAACAGACCAGTCGTGTTTTTAGGTGAGGGTCCAAAACGTGGTTGATTCCCGGCCCTGAAGACTTCCGGACTCATGTGCTTGACCATATATTCGGCTATGAACTGCGATGGATTGATTATGGGATCGGCTAAAGATCCCAACCTATATGATTTCCACAAGGCACAACGGTTTTTCAGCTCATATTCGAAGGCATCCCAGGCCATATGTAGAATCGGCTGGGCCGAATTCCAAGTAGCTTCATCGCGTGGCAAAGTGTGGGGACCCCGTCGACAAGGATAGGTTCTCTCGGGTATTGAAGGAGCGATCAAGGGAACTGTATTGGGCATATCTGGGGGAAAGTATGTTATGTATGTATTGTTACCCCTTATCGAAAATGCAAAAATTGGTTACTCCAATTTTTCTTCCCGAGACGACAGCCAATATGGGTCCAAATATGGAATGCCATGAATGAATTTTAAGGAGTCCCTTTATATGTATTATATTTGAAAACTCACATAGAATCTCTCCTTGGTAGTAGAGCGAAACGGGATTATTGATCCAATGTCCGTTGTTGAAGGGCATTTCCTGAGATTGAACCCAGTCCATTTGTTCTTGCTCCTCCACTGGTGGTTGAGAGAAGAATACCATATCTGGGGCAGGGAACGAAAACTGCAGGTGAAAGCGAAAAATTAGATAATTTTCTGAGGTCTTTTCAAAATATTCACCATGCTTATCGCACTTTTGTATGATTCACGAACGTTATTCACGTTTAAAAAAGAATAAGAAATTTTCTGTTTATTTTTTACATAAAATTTTGCTTTAGAAAAGGTGTTTGAAGTTACCGAAGCTATACAAATGATTATTATAAGTAGAAAAACACTAAAAGCAAAGGGTTCTTTTTGAAAGGGCTTAACAAAAAATATGAGTTCATATTGCGATACAAAGGGAAAGCTGGTGTTAAAAATTCAAATTTCGCGCTCAAGAGCTCCACCTGCTGTCTTTTTGTTCGATGTCAGGGCTGCAAGCACCAATGTTTCATATCTGGAAACAATATGTAGCGGAGACACGAACCTTTTTATATCGAATGACCGATAGGCCAGCAGATAACATTGTTAGTCGATAGACACTGTCAATCACGCTTCCTGATAACGATTAAACCAAAAAGTCGAAAATGTAGTAAAACTTGTTGAAACTAAATAAGTTATTGGGATTAAAGTGAAATAGAAGGATAGCCAGTCAACAGTGATAATATTTCGATAGTTGAGCAGCCATCAATGGTGCCGGCTGGGTGTTATCGGATAATTGACAGCCCTAAATCCTTTGGAAATCCTCAAGTTCAGCTGCTTTTGCACACACTGACCTTCATTATACATACATACCGTATATACAAGGTGTTTGTGTGCGTCTGCAAGTGTGTGGGTGCACTCGAAAAAAGGTTGGAAAGGAAACAAGCCAGATATCGGTGAAAAACGTTGGATCTTATAACCCGGAAAAGTCAGAAAAGCCTAAAAAAAGTCAAGGACGACATGCTGCCCCCCGCCCACAGAAGTGGATGTGGGTGGCTCACCCATTAAAACTCCACTAAAACGCAAGCGCAGGAGTTTTTCCTTCAAGAAGTCAAGGCTTCTTTAGTAAGGGGTCATGGTCACAGGATATAGGATATAGTATATAGCAGCAACAACATGTCCAGCGAATCGTCCACCGAAGGCGATAGCGATCTATACGATCCATTGGCCGAGGAGCTTCACAATGTCCAGTTGGTCAAACATGTAACCCGGGAGAACATCGATGCCCTAAATGCCAAGTTTGCCAATCTGCAGGAGCCACCAGCCATGTACTTAATGGGTAAGTAAAATAAAACTCTTTCCAATAACAGGACACACCTCCAAACACCACTTGTTATACATATATTTACATATGCATGCTAACATACTTCACTCTTAATATTTATATTCAATCTACAATAATCTTTCGCAGAATACCAGGAGTTGACCTCCAAACTCCACGAACTAGAGGCCAAGGAGCAGGAATTAATGGAGCGACTGAATTCCCAAGATCACCAAGAGGACTCCTCATTGGTTGAGCGATTCAAGGAGCAACCGCACTATCAAAATCAAACCCAAATCCTGCAGCAACAGCGCCAATTGGCTCGAGTGCATCATGGCAATGATCTTACGGATAGTTTAGGCTCCCAGCCGGGCAGCCAATGTGGAACTTTGACCCGTCAGCCCAAGATCCTGTTAAGAGCTCATCTGCCCAATCAACAGCGCACTTCAGTGGAGGTAATTTCAGGAGTACGACTATGTGATGCCCTCATGAAGGCCCTGAAACTCCGGCAATTAACGCCGGATATGTGCGAAGTGAGCACAACTCATTCCGGAAGACATATCATACCTTGGCACACGGATATAGGCACTCTACACGTGGAGGAGATATTTGTTCGGCTGCTGGATAAATTCCCGATAAGGACACACATCAAACACCAGATTATAAGGAAGACCTTCTTCTCGTTAGTTTTTTGCGAAGGCTGTCGAAGGCTATTGTTTAATGGCTTTTACTGCAGCCAGTGTAATTTCCGTTTTCATCAGAGGTGCGCCAATAGAGTTCCCATGTTGTGCCAGCCCTTTCCTATGGAAAGCTATTATCAGCTACTCCTGGCTGAGAATCCGGATAACGGAGTCGGCTTCCCAGGTAGGGGCACTGCTGTCCGGATTAATATGAGCAGCAGAAGTCGTAGTCGGCGGTGCAGCAGCAGCGGCAGTAGTAGCAGCTCTAAGCCACCATCCTCGTCCTCTGGAAACCATCGGCAGGGTCGTCCGCCAAGGATCAGCCAGGATGATCGATCGAATTCCGCTCCAAATGTGTGCATAAACAACATTCGATCAATTACAAGCGAAGTGCAGCGGAGTTTGATTATGCAAGCGAGGCCTCCATTACCGGTGAATTAGCAGATTTTTGTTTATAATTAATCATCTAGTTTTACTAATGTTCTGACATACTTTAGCACCCATGTACTGATCACTCCAACTCAACGCAGGCATCGCCCACCAGTACACTGAAGCATAATCGACCCAGGGCAAGGTCCGCCGATGAGAGCAACAAGAATATACTTTTGAGGGATGCTAAGAGCTCCGAAGAGAACTGGGTACGAAGGATTTTCATGGTTATTAATTTAAATTATACTAATACTACTAATATCATCTTTGCAGAATATCCTGGCTGAGGAGATTTTGATAGGACCCCGGATCGGATCTGGGTCCTTTGGAACCGTTTATCGAGCCCACTGGCACGGTCCCGTGGCCGTTAAGACGCTTAACGTAAAGACCCCGAGTCCCGCCCAGTTGCAGGCATTCAAGAACGAGGTGGCCATGCTGAAGAAAACGCGTCACTGCAACATCCTGCTCTTCATGGGCTGTGTGTCCAAGCCATCTCTGGCAATTGTGACCCAATGGTGCGAGGGCAGTAGCCTCTATAAGCACGTTCACGTCAGCGAAACGAAGTTTAAATTGAACACGCTCATCGATATTGGTCGTCAAGTGGCCCAGGGTATGGATTATCTCCATGCCAAGAACATCATTCACAGGTAAGTTTAAATAAATGATACCGTCCTCGCTTGATCAAAAATATAATAAACATTTTCCATCTGCCAGAGACCTCAAGTCGAACAACATCTTTTTGCACGAGGATCTTTCCGTGAAGATTGGCGATTTTGGACTGGCTACTGCGAAAACTCGATGGTCTGGTGAAAAGCAGGCCAATCAGCCAACGGGCAGTATTTTATGGATGGCTCCAGAGGTAATTCGCATGCAGGAACTGAATCCCTACTCCTTCCAATCGGACGTTTATGCCTTTGGTATCGTGATGTATGAACTATTGGCCGAGTGTCTGCCCTATGGTCATATTAGCAACAAGGATCAGATCTTGTTTATGGTGGGGAGAGGACTTCTACGTCCAGATATGAGTCAAGTGCGCTCAGATGCACCGCAGGCATTAAAACGCTTGGCCGAGGACTGCATTAAGTATACGCCCAAGGATCGCCCGCTCTTTAGGCCTCTACTCAATATGCTGGAGAACATGCTGCGCACTTTGCCCAAAATCCATTGCAGTGCCAGTGAACCGAACTTGACGCAATCCCAGTTGCAGAACGATGAATTTCTGTATCTGCCAAGTCCTAAAACGCCGGTGAACTTCAACAACTTTCAGTTCTTCGGCAGTGCTGGGAATATTTAGACGGCGACCTGTACCTGTACTTATATCCCGCGTGATCAAAGGTATCCTATTTCTATATATTTTTCGTTTTTGTCCCTCTGTATATAAGCGATTCGCCAAAGGGTCGGCTCAGGTTTGCCCACCAAAGTGAAAGAGATGGGTTGCCTGCCGGCCACAAAGCGAAATTTGCTGCTTTCCTTGGAACTGACAAAGTGCATTTCTGACTACAAAACTGTAAACTAAACTGCAACGCCCATGTGTACATAACTGCATCATAACTTATATACGTTAGGCAAACTAAACTGAAACTAAACTAAACTAAACTAGCTGATCGCAATTACATTATACACATTATACTTATACTACAACAAAGAAGCTGTTATCTCTGGGATGAAGAAGTGAAGGATATGTCGAATTGGATTTGGTTGGATATAGTTTATTCATTTAGCAACAGAAAGGCGGGTTCCCAAGGATTTGAAACGACTTAAACATATCTACTGGCGATGGCTAGTACCTTTGTGTAATCAGCACCTTTGGACAGTGTTTTCTCCTTAAGGATGGTGCGCAATATCGTGGGAATAGGCACATGGATCCGAGTGCCCAACGGACTACCATTATCATCGATGAGAACCAAATTGTTACTATCAAACTTGGGTTGTTTGGGCTTCTGATTTTGCTTGAGTCCCACGAGGATGCCCTTCTTCATCTGTCCTTTTATGGCCACCAAAACTTTGTCTCCGATGAGGCCCACTCCTCGTTTGTTGTACACATGGATGCATCTAGGTGGTCGTCCTTCGGCCATCGCCTTTTTGCCCAAGTCACTGTTGTCCACCACCCGTAATCGGGCCAATTTCCGGATTTCGCAGCATGCCGGCGTCGTGTGAATCAGCTCTTGCTTTTGTAGACCACCCAATGTCGTTGCCAGTGGGTTATTCACCTGCTTCAATGTCTTCAGGATGCGCAGAGCCATTGTCCGTTTGTATTTCTTTGATCTTAATATTTTTAATTCAACAAAATCAAAGAAAACACAAAAAGTAAATTATACAATTTTATGTAGGGTTGCCATATCTCAGAAAATATCATATGGAGCGCTTACAGCACTTTTATCGATGTTACAACCTAACAGAGCGCAGGTATCGATGTAACTGCAAGACTGAGCGCAGTTATCGATGTTACGGCTGAACTAAAACACGCTGGTGTCAGGAGCGGATAATTTAAAAATAGTTAAACGGTAAGTTTTAAAAGCTTAATTGTTGCTTAATTTATTTTTAAAGGAAGTGGATTAACTTTGCTGCTGACAACGGCTAATTATAAATTGTTTTATGTTTTAGATGTTCGCTTTCCATTATTTGTTAAGAATGAAGTCTTTTAAGGCGCCAAAAGAATTTACAGTTATCTGGCGCAGCTTCGGGCGAAGGAAAATTTAGGTATGTAAATACTATTTTTAACTTTTCTGAAGTGCTTAATATTAGGTAAATACTATTTTCAAATGTTCTAAAGTGTATAATATTTATAAAATTAAGCTCAAGATGGTTGTTTATCTTTTTAACATTGAGTAATTATCAATGTATTAAGTGCCCACTGCATAAGTATAGAACGACCATTATTAGTTTCTGTATTTTATTTTATTCAGTTTAATACAATGCCATATATATACATCAACGCTAAATGCATTAACTGCTGTTGCTTTAAAATAATTTATTAGCATTTTTAACTCTTGTTTTCGGGCTCCTTTGCTTTTGCTACCATTTGTTTTTTGTTTGACACGACTAAGTAGACCAGTCCCATTGGTTAGAAAATTGGTTACTATATTTCACTATGACGTACGAAATATTATTTATGCATATTAACATACACATATGTATATTTGTATATATATATATATATATATATAGATAAATGTTTCGTTTTTCTTTATATTAATATTTTTTTTGGGTTCTCTTGTGACCTAATGACTAAAACAAATTATTAAAAAACTACATAGTTCATAACAAAAACTAAGATTAGTTAAAAAAAAATTGGGTTATTGGGCGCTTTAAAAGCGCGGGGGGAATGGGGTGTGAAAAAAAACGTTCTATTAAATCGTGGCTTTTTTCAAAATTATTTACAAACTCAACACAAAATTTACTGTTAACGGTATAAAAATAATATAACTTGTGCGCTGCCTTTGTGATTTTGTGCTTGAATTTTATCTACTGTTTCTTTTTTGGAAAACTCAGGATCGGTTGAGCTCCTCTCGTTTAAAATTCCGTATCGCGTCCATCAGCTGGGAACGCGGATCCGGAGTTGTGGGTCCACTGCGTCCGCCGTTGGTTTTCACAGGCTTCAGGGCCGGAACTAATTGTGCCGGCGGCGGTGGTGGCGGTGAGGGTGTAGCTGCTGGCTGGGATGTGGGCTTAAGTTTGACCTGCAGGCTCACCGGTCTGATTTCCGGCTCTTGGAGCTTAACTTCCGTTTTGGTGGACTTTAGAACCACATTCACATTCTTCGCCGGCGGCACTGGTTTGCTTTCTGGCGGGGATATGGACGTCGCAGCTGAAGAAGGAGTAGTTCCATTTACAGACACCCTTATCCTCAAGGCCTGCTCCTGCTCTTGCTGCTCTTTGGCCAACATTCGTTCCTTAAAGCCTGTGCGGCGTAAGGTGTTCTGACCAAAGGGAGCTGGAGAAGGATTGGCCTCCGCTGGTCGGTTCCTCTCAAAGGTAGAAACGGGGCGTGGCAGGGAGTTGCTGGCCAAGTTGGAAACCATTTGGTTGCTTTGGCCAGCGGGTAGAGTGAATCGATTGGTTTTGGCTGGACGTGGCAATGTGGAGGATTGATTTTGGGTCTCAACCAGTGGCTTCTCAGGAGATGGTTTAACCTGCGTTTTAAGCTTTACTTGAACCGAAAAGGTTTCCTCTTGGACCTGCTGCTCCTTTACCTTCTGGACATCCGGCTTCTCATGCTTTACCGGCTGTTCGTTCTCCACAGATTGACTGACATCTTTCAGTGGCTTAACCGTAATGGGGACGTGGTATTCCTTCCTTTGGGGAATACCCATTCTCAAAATGGGCGAAGCCACTTCAATGGTGAGCTTGGCAGGTGGTGAGGTTACCGTCTGAGACTTCCCTGCACCGCCAAAGATGTAGTCCCCTTCGTTCTTAATAGCCACAGTGGACTTGGGTCGTTCGCTCCAGGTGGCAAAATTGATGCTAGGTGGTCCGGAGTAGCGATAAGTTGTCGGCAGAGGCTTGGAGCTCGGAGCAGACTCAATCAGTTGACTTGGTTGGGTTTCCGTGCTATTGATCGGGTTTCTCAGACTAACTGGACTGATTGGAGTGGCTGGGGAATTAAGAGGTGTTATGGTGGTTTTGGAGCTGGCCGAGATTTCGGTTTCCTCTTTAACCGTTTGAACAGTTGAAACAGATGTAACGAGCACTTTTTGAACTGGTGCAGATGGCTCTGGAACCTTCTTCAAAGCCGGTGGCGATGGCTTAGGAGCTGGAACAGGTGACTCTTTCTTGGCCACAGGAGGCGATTGTTTCTGGACAGAAATTCCATTCTCAGCCAATGGAGTAACCTGCTCCTGGACAGTTTTTACAACAGGAGGTATTGGTGGCTTTTCACTTGATGAAGGCTTTTGCTTCTGTATTGGAGTAGGTGATTGTTTCAGGGCTGGCGGAGGAGGGGACTGCTTCTGCTCGGGCTCCTGCACAACGTTGGGAGCAGGAGTCGATTGTTTTTCGACAAGTGTAGCTGACAGCTTTGAAATAGCAGTAGTAGGTGGACTGCTGGGCTCGTCTTTGGCCTGGATCTCCAGTTCCTTTATGATCTTTGGTTGCTCTGTAACAGGCGATGGCGAACTGCCACCACTTTCAGCCAAGCTGTTCTTTCGTGAGTTCAAGATCGTCTTGATCACCTCCAGACTTTGCAATGAAGGTGATTCGCCAATGCTCAACTCACTGGAGGAGCGCCTCTGACCCAAACTATTGCCGTTCTGTTCCAGTTTGTTAAGGGAGACATGGGAAGTGCTGCGATGACTCAGAGTTCCGCCAGGTGAGGTTACCTCCGCCTCTTCGACGGATCCGCCGGCCTGAAAAGAGCCAGCTCGGGTAATCCTCGTTGTACTTTTGGCCGTAGCTATGCTAAAATTGGTCAAACGATTCGGCTTAGCTGCCTCAATCTCGGCTAGACGGGGATCGGGCTGATTTTTGATCAACGTGTCCAGACGCTGTTGGTTAATTATAGTGGCCAATTCATCCACGATCTCGTCCAGCGGCGAGCCGGGGCTCACCGAACCCGCACTGCGTTTCTGCATTTGCTGGTCGGAGAAGTCGGGAGGTGGCGATATGGGTACAGAGTAATTCCATGAAGTAAGCGAGGTCTCGCTACTGGGAGTGGCAACATTGCCATTCGTCATGGCCACCGGCTGCTGTACATGCTCCTCCTCTTCAACGATATCCTGGGCTGCAAGCACTGTCAACTCCGCAAAGCTAGTGGCCAATGGTTCGTCTTTCTTGGAAGTCTGGCACAGCTTGAAATTGTATACCTTGATGGCCTCGTCGTCCTCGGAACTCGATTCCTGCTGCGATTTCTCCGCTTCGGGTTCTGGTGAGGCCGAAGGCGATGGTGCTGGTTCTCCAATACCAGAATCCGCTTGCTTCGAAGCCGCATCGTTATCATCATCCTCTGTGGCACTACCTAAAGATCGGGGCTCCGGGGTTGGTGTTCTATTGAGAAGGACCTTGGAGACATTTCCATTGGGCGATCCATTACCATTGCCATTCAGTTGGGGAAGAGGAGGATTGGCAGCCGGAGCGACGGGCAAAGGTGTGGTAATCCTAGGAGCTGGTTGCGGTACATTCGGCGTAGGTGTAACTGGTTCCGGAAGAGAAGCCAATGATATATTATCTCCGCCACTTTGAAAATCTGGCGGTGGAGCCGGTGCCGTTTTCTTCTTGATCTGCACCAAACGTTTCCGTGGCGTTGGTTCCGGACCACCAGCCACTGGTGGTTTCAGATCCAATGTGGCATAATGCCCATCTGCGGAGTCTTCGTCCGGTGACTTTGAGCTGTTGCCGTTGCAGTCTACCTCCGGAGGACCAGAGAGATTTGGCGTGGACATGCAGAGCTGTGGTCGCTTGACAATCACCGCATAGGCTGGCTCGCTTTTCAAGTTAGCAGCCGGAATATCCGGAACAGATTGCTCCGGAATGCAAATCTGACTGGGTGGCCTGGGAGCGGTTCGCTTTTTACGCGGCGGTGGGGCTAATACCTTTGCCGGCGGCACCACTACTGGCGTACGAGTGTAGTTCATCCCCGTGGAGTCCATTGAGTTCAGTGAATTGCTTGAACTGTAAGGACTCGGCGTTTTGGCCGTAACCTTTGAGTGCCGGCTGCTACTGAAGTCCGAACTGCTGCTCAACGAATCTCGGGCAGCCCCGGTGCGCTGGAATTTGTGCATCACATCCGGATTAAAGTTGTCGTAGGACTCCGATTTGTGGCACAGTCGGATCTCTGAGAGGCCCACAGCTCCGATAGTCGATTCGCAATTGTACACCTGACTAGCATCCACTAAAAGTTGGAAAAAGAAAATAGTTAAGTAAGGTATATTGGGTAATGCAAAAGTATATGTAGATCCTCTTACCTGGACTGCGGAACTCGTACTTGTCCGCATCCAGTTGCTTGTTGTCGCACACAAGCGAAAGGAGTTTACTCAGAGGAACCCTGGCACCCAGTCGGGCCACAAAAAGCTGATCCTTGGGCAGCAGAACGGTGATGCGGAAAGTCTGCTCAAAGGGCGCATTGCTGGTGGCTGCAGGCACTGGGGTTATCCGATTGTACTCTAGCTGACTAGTCTCGTTTACGTCCGTGTCCGTGGACAAATGGTGAAGCTGTGTCGACGACTTGGACAACTTGCCCATGGAAGAGCTGCCAGTGCCGGATTTGTCTAACGGTAAGAAAAGGGGGAGTTAAGATTTTACAAGTTAGAATTTGAGTTTCTTAGGGTTCTATCTATTGGAACAACAAATATTCATTTAGGAAGTATTTATTGGATTGTATTTAGCGATTGTGGCAATATAGTACAGTAGATAGGGAACCATATAGGATAAAAATAAATTGTCAGGCTAATTAAAGTTTATTGTTTTAGTGGCGTTTAAAGTTTATTGACCACTTACCCTTTTTCCGGCCAAACCAACGATTTAGTGTGGAGAAGCCGCCCTTCATGCTGCTCATGTTGTGGGCGTGGCTCCCGAAGTGTTTCCCTATCTCTCAATCGCTCTCCGCTTCTTCCACCTTCACCAACTTCCGTTTCCTTTTCGGTTTCGGTTTCGATTTCGATTTCGAATCTCAACTTTTGCAACTCAGCGTTTTCCTTAAAATTTCGATCGGGTTTCGTAATATTCCTAGAGCATGCTAGAAAATGGCGTGCGATTTGTGCGCTGCGAAATCTGAAAGTGAAAAACGGCAAGAAAGCGAGTTAAAAGCGGCTCGATTACAAAAGACGCTTGGTCTTATCAGTTTTTTCTGGCTGATAAAGATGATGAAGGGGGGGCTGGCGACTGCTTTTTTGCTGTTTATCAATGCCACACATACACATACTCGATTCTTCCAATTTGAGACACATCCATAATACCCTTTCCCAAAGATAAAGAGCTATATGTTAGTTTCCCCAACAATAAACGGCAATTTCGATTTCTAAAGTACGTTCCAAAGTCGACTTGATAGTTCTAGCTTGTACGTATTCGCTTTATCAATTAAATTTTCTCCGTTTCTATTTGCCTTTTGCGCCTGGCTTAGTGCTTAATTGTCGGCCAGGCTGTTTAATGGCTCACACCTATACAAAGGCACTGGCCAAAATGCGAGCGATAAGCTCAAGAAAATCGAAATCGTCGGCGGCAATGAGAAGTTCGCGACTTGCGGGCGTTTTTTGTCGCGTGCGAATCATTTGCACACAATGCAAATCGCGAAGGCGACTTCAATATATATACGAGTATATATAGATGTCTATAAGCAAGATAGGAAAAAGAGGGTGGAAAGGGGGGCGTGGCGTTGTTTACTCAGTAGTAAATTCTAATGACATAGTTAGGTGGTGCAGCGGTGTGAGTGCAAGACCATGCAAATTACGGCCAATTGTTGCAGCACCAACTTGTTCTATTGTCTTTGCACTGAAAACAAATAGGGAAATCTCTTTGAAATTATGTTTTATTTTCAAATGATAATGCCACTATCTAAGGGATAGGAGTAGTTTAGGATAGGAAGAAGTTTATGGGTGATATTTTTCAACCAAATCCTTCTTTTTTCCCGTGCATTCATGTACATTTTCATTAGGTATACAGTACATTACAGATCTATAAGGTTAATCGCAAGTAATTCCCACGGGAAGTGCATAGTTTCCCTTAATTGGGAATCCAATTCAGTAAACAACCTTTTCGAACGACAAATAAACAGATTTAATGGAACTAAATGACGATAATTGAATTCAGAATAAAGCTTGCCTGACTCGATAGTTGCTATATATATAAGCTGTAACATTCAGTTTCTGTATTCCAGATTTAAGAACTTGAATCAGCTTAAAAAATAAGATTTTAATTAAGCCTTTAATATGAGCGGCTATATCCGCCTGGGATCCCAAAATAGTCAATGGATTTATTTTAATGAGCCGCACTGTGCACATTCGTGATTGCCTGTGGCCAATCGATTTGTGTTTACTTTTTAATGAGCAGCCCCGACTTATTAGCTCGACTATTAACCAGCCTAATTAGATATAAAACTCAACATGGAGTCATCACGTCGATCCCCATGAATTCGCCAAAAAAAAAAAATACCCCATGGGGTTTGAGGATTTCAAGCTTTTGAGGCAATTACACCTGAATTGAATGTCTCACTTTTCGATCACTTCGATCCACCTTAATCATTCGTTTAAACGTAAAACCCTAATCTTACCATTTATCCATTATGGCCATAGATTGGGTATTTCCTCAGTCGTTTTAGCAACTCTTCTAACCAGTTTTGGGTTATCAATACGGCGTTTGTTTTGTTTTTGGTTTTGGCCCAAAGGCTTTTATAGTCAGTCACTAAAGTTCCCCTTGAAATAAGCATGAGTAAGTTGAAATTCCTCAGCTATCATGAGGCGGCGATGAGAAATGTTTTTTATTGTGGTTTTTGTTTTAAATCATCACGTTCCATAAACATGGCTTGTGGTGTTGCCAAAATAATGAGCTTGGCTAATAGCGTTAAGTGTTTGGTGGCCCTTGTGAACTGGCTAATTGAAATAAAAATTAAATTACACTCGGATGGTACTCTATGGTGAACTTTATACTTTGCCTATCGTCTTTGTATGAGTGAAATGGCTGGAATAAAGGCGCTTACATTTATGGCCATATATAAGCCCTCGATTATCTAAATATATTGCCCATTATAATGGGCATATAGCATTTGAATAGCGATGAATCAGAGCCAACTGCTAACTGCAGCTGAACAATCAGACGTAATTGAACTGTTTGCTTTGGCACGTTGGCTCCGTGTGTTTCGGATTGGAGATGGTTAAGTAACCCTCTATCGATTTCCACTTCTGACACGAGTAGCCCAGTTAACAGACAAACATCGAGCGATATTACCTATAACGTGAAGTGCGAACGATTTCCATTCCGGCGTTTATCAAAACGATCGTTTCGAAACAAGGTCTTTAAAACTTGGCGAACTCAGAGATCACTTATCGTTGCGAGAACTTGATTGATCAGCAACATTGAGGCCTCACGAGTTGGTTATATCTTTGGCTTTGAAAATGTGAATCTCAAGGAAGGCCCATTATCATATCGAAATACTAGATAATCTAAAAGAAAGAATCTTCTGACTGAATAACCATGGAAAGACATCATTATTAGTAAGCTTTTATCGAAATGTTTTGATTGTAGTCGCTAATAGATCTTTATGGTCTTGGAATATATCAAGACAAGCATAGTTTTATTTCTAAATAGAACCCATAAAAGTCCTCCCCATTCGGATCTTTATGGTTCTACATCATGGGGTTAGATAACCCAGGCAAAAAAACTACGACTTCCATAATCGAATGCTAATTTCACGGCTAATGTCTTCAGTCATTTGGATAAGTATCACCGTTATGTGTACTCTTAAAATTGGCAACTTTCTACCGTTACACATGTGCCTAAAGAAAAGGTAAGCATTATTGTTTTGGGGGCCCCAAGTACCGCTCCATGTTAAATAAGTTGAATCAGAAGTGCAAATACAAGATGATTAATGGGCCAGCTCTGTCGATGTGATTATTGGGAATGTCGGAAAGTCGGGGGGTATCACTTCATCATGGGCTTAAATATAGAGATGTTTTGACTGCGAATCGTTTTCACTGTTCAATCGATGACACTGACATTGAAGTTCGGCATTGCATTCAGTGAATCGACTTGAGGTTGCTCCAAAGTTAGGCGATGATATCATGGTGGATAAGCGACGTGCGGGAATTTTTTTTATTGGTGCTCATCATTGTTTCTCTATAAACATCATCACCGATCCAACTAGACTGCTATGCAAATTTCCAATCGCCTGGTAAGTCGATATACCCAGAAACACCTGTGGAATGACTTTCTCGAGTCACTGTTTTTACCTGTTTTTGCGACAACTTTATCTGCTTTTGTTTGGCTTGTTGTGAGTTATCAGCCGAGTGATACGCATGACTAATCCCGAATATGCTAAGTCTTAGTCGTCGTTGTTGTTATGTATGTATGTATGTATGTCGCCCCTGACACTTGCTGGCCATTATCTATTTCAATTTGTGCGGCAATTTGAGCCACTTGATTAGGCCGCTTCGCTCTGCTATGTCCGATCCTCGGGTTCTTTGGTAAATACCCTGCACATGTGTATAGGTAGTATATGCCCCTATGACTGACACTTATCACGTACCCCGGCTGTAGCTCTAATGGCTCAGAAGATGTCACTGTACGTTAGACATTCGATTGGGGTCTTCAGGAGTGACGTGGATAGATCTATTTAAAAACCCATTAAGGACCATCAAAGGGGAATATATATAATATAACCCTTAGCAAAAATGGGCAAAACCTGGGAATATATGATTACCTAAAAAAATCTTTATGGGTTCTATCTTATTCGTTATTCCAATTATAAACAAGTTGCTAGTTTCTTGCCCAATTCTGTCTTGGTTCACGCGGGTCCAAAAGTGAGGAAATTAGGGAGCATAGCTAAAGAATCAATCAACGAAAAGCTATATAGATAATAAAATAAAAAGAATCGATGGCATAATATAACCAAAAGAAGATACGAAAAAGAAATGGTAATTGATTGCGAGACCATAGAAGGCAACGGGTTCGAATGGGTTTAAATATGAATGAGGCAGACGATGTGAGTGGCCAAGAAGTGAGTTAGTATAAAATCGATATTCCGACTATTTTCCGTATTTTAAGCCACGTTCTAGCTGTTTACCCCTTCCGACTAAAACCAACTTCCTTAGCTAATTGAAAACAAATCGTCGGACGCTTGGCCAATGGCAAGTTTTCCGTTAATTTCACACAGATTACATTATAACTACTGCACTTTAACTACTGTTTTGTTTGCGGCTAACGAATACAGTTGTACTCAAAATAATAGTAACACAAATATCATATATGATATACAGTTGAAGATTAGTTTGGTTTAAACTACTATTATTTCGCAGACAGGTGTAAGATTGTGGCAAATAGTTTTTCCAACGGTTGGGTTAGAATCCCGATCTACGTGACGAATCACTTCTCGCACTTCACATTTCCAATTCTATTCGTCGTGGCTTTCTTTGGCTATTCACTTTGCTTTGCCGCAATTAAATGCAGTGTTTGCTGTTCGGCTAATTGCACGTTGTCATAAACAGAAATAAATTAATACACGCACACTAGAATTTATGTAGCTCTTAAGGTAAACTTGAAAAACAACAAAAAATTGCGTACTAACTGCGGCTAGCGGTGTTTCTTTTTTTTCTTTTATTTGGCTTTCTCTCTCTTTCTGGATGAAGAGAGGAGAAGCAACTTCTGCGAGGCGGCGCCGACGACGACGTTAACAAAACTGAAAACAAAAACGCGCAAATTATGCATAGAACACAAAAGCACAAACACACGTAGAGAACTCTAAACACCGACACACACACACTATCAAACACAATAATAGTGGCAATAATAAAGCAACGGTAACTCTCTAATAATAGAGCCACAGGCAGAAAAAAAAAACAGAGTTGCTCTCTCATTCCCTGGCTCTCCCGACTGGAGGAGCTCTTGCTTTATCTTATCAGACCATGCAAAATGATTGCTGCGACAACAACGTCAGGTGAAAGGAGGCACGAAAAAGTGCATGCCAAATGGTTTTTGGATTTTCTGATTGGATCGAAGACTTGGATTTGTAAGTTAGAATTCCGATTGGATATTCTTCTTTTAAAAGTTTATTACTAAAGTTCTTATTTTTGCTTTCTGGGAACTGGAATTTGGTTAAAAGGTTTGCGACTGGAACTTTGCACGACTGAACTCTACAGATCTCGACAGAGTTCAACAGAATAATGCTGGTAAGTCTTAAAATCACTTCTTTAAACATAGTAACTAAATTAATATGTAGAAAATCACTTCTCATTTGCTATAAAAGTCGCTATTGGTTAGCATTTTGAAACCAATCGATTAGAACTTTATATTCGAAAGGAATCAGAGTTATAAAAAACTTGACTGTTCTTTGACTGTACTTGTATTTCACTATGGAATATGGGTATCTGGTATCTAGTATCTGTTGCTCTGTGTATCTATCTGTATCTTCACTTGTCGCCGCACTTGGGCCAACTGAACTAAAACTTCCAGCTAAGTGCGTTGCATAAGTCAGATGATGATGAGCTGCGCTGACTGCAGCGCTGGCAGAATTGCGCAAGTCTCGCGTTCTGATTGACGACCTTCAATCGCAGTTAACTATTTGGCGTGGGAGCCCGACCACCTTCTTTTAGTTTTTTAAGTGGTATATTGGCGCTCCTTTCGCTAAAAATAAAATCAACAGCAGAAACCCTCCAACGCTTTTCACCGACCAGGAGTGCCGATGTCTAAATGCGTGACCATTTTCGGCCCATCGTCAAGAAATCAAAGAAAAAAAAATAGGAAGGAAGCCTCACCTAAACGCACACGCACACTACCACTCGGATGACATCATAGGTGAACCACCATAAATGGACACTCCAAGAGACTAGCTATAGTTATAGGGTGTGTGCCACCTTCTTCGAATCGACTTCTAATTAGCTGCTGTTGCACATCTAACTAGAACATCTAAAGAAATCGACATCAAATTGGTTTTAGGAGAGGTTAAAAGAAAGAAAGAATTACTCAGATACCTTACAAGTTTTCTTATTTTAAGTTTAATGGGTCACTGAAACCGCAATACCTTTAGAGAGTTTATCATAAACATAAATTGAAATAATCTTAAAAATATACAAATGTTCTGTAAGTTTAACTGCCAACCATCGATTTGTTTGGATAGTGAAAACCAGCTCAAGGGGTTATTTAGGGTTTAGGGTTCTTCGACTCCTGTTTTGGCCCACCTGCTATCGCATCTATCTAACATGGCTTCCTTGCCGACCAGACCGACTGACCGTATCTTGATCACTTAAGGCCTGTTCGACTCGCATATTAGCGTTTCTGTATTATCGGAACCCCTCGATAATGTACGAAAAGAATTCCAATAAATTTTGGTATGGCTTAGAGTTAACTTTTTTCCATCGTCTGCCTGATATGAGCGAGGCATTTTCGAGGGCGCCACCGAAACATTGGAACATTGGAACACCCAAACTAACTAAGCAAAAACACAATATAATACCATCTGTTGGCACTCGCTGTGTACTTGTACTTGTACTTGTAGCTATTATATCTCTCCATTTATTTGTAGTTGCTCGGGCACGTTTTGGGGTCTATGATAACCTCAACCTTAACACAGTCGTGTCTTTGGTCGTCGCGAAGGTTTCTTCGCAGACGGGGGCGTAGCTATCAGACGTACTCGTGTACTATATAGATCTCGATATGTGTGGCAACAACATGTAGCCAACAACATATCATTGAGGCATTTATCCAGGCCCCAGACAAAGACTTCCTCGCTGTGGTACTTGGTGACCCCGATTTGAGGGAATTCTTCTGTTTTTTTCTTTCTCTTTTTTTTTTTTTTTTTTGGTTTTGCCTCATTTTTTTTTTTTTTTTTTCGTAGTTGTTGCGAAAAGTAGCACAAACTCATTCCGAAAAGCGGCAAGAAGAACACAGAGAACAAGCCGTAAACAAGTTTTGCGATGCCAAATTCGACAATGGACCATATGATCAGCGTAATAATAGTTATGATTATTGGCTGCCGGAGCTGTCGGGTCGGGTTCGAAAGATTTCTACGAGGCATATCTTTCATAAATATTTTAGTGGCACGCCTAGGAAAAGGTAAACCTCCTTTTTGCTGCTTTTTTCTTTGCCACGGAGCGGAAGGTGAGGAAAATGCATGGCATAGGTAAGAAAAGAGTTGATCTACATACCGGGGCCGGGCCACAACAAGCCCCGTTAGCCGTGGCCCTTAAGTTTTTCCTCTTCTTCTTCTTTCTGCATGCCTCGCTTTAATTAGACTTCAATCAATGCCAGAGGCAACTGTCAGCGCCCTAGTGACTCTGCACAGGGGAAGAAAAAAGAGGCTAAATAAATGAATGATTAAATGAAGGCCTAAGGCGGCCTAAAGTGGCGGCATATCATCATAAATCTTTTCTCTCTGTGCACTGCGACTTGCACTCCAATTCTGACGTCAGTCATTAGTTTGCAGAATGGGGTCAACTGCAGACTTGGATCCCCACAGACCGACCACTCGATCTTTTGAGAGTTTTAACCGAACTGACAGTTGCCTGCGTCTGCGATGATTTCGATTCGAGATCCAAGCAGCTGATTCAATTACGGTCGCAATTGCGTTGCAAGTGCAGTCAGCCGTCCGAACAATTCAATGTGGCTCAATCTGCGACAGACATTTGCGTACAGACATGTGTTCATATTCACAGAGCTGAGTGCCACAGGAGGAGATATCCACTTACACATGTTGAACCGTCTTGTATTACATATCAAACTAACATTATCGCAGATCCCCGTCACACTTTTCCCCCATATACTATAGTAGTTTAATCTACTCTGCTATGAAATATTTATAGCCTAGAACTTTTGCCTGCCGCACAGCTGTGTGCCAACATATAGCTCGACTTTGATTCAGCTGTAACTCTATCAAGGGTCTGTAGTAATGAGTAATATAGATTTTGATGAGTTAAGTTAAGTTAATAACTAATCTTTTCCTATAGCTAATGCTAGGTCAAGCATCCCGTTAGTGGCTAAACTTTTCTTAGAGAAAAGCTTTAAACAAATACTAATCAATATCTGCGGTTCTCCGCCCATTTAAGTCCCCCATTAAGTGGCTACCTTTTTGTAGATCTGACCACCTGCAAGTGTTTTTATAGAGTTGGGAACTTCGGAGCACTGGAAATGCCGCCCAATAAACGGCAACGGTGCATAGCCAACCAACCTGTCAAGATCGGGTTTTTTATGATTATTTTTTGGGTGTTTGAGTGTTTGAGTGTTGCAACCACAGCACAACAGCACAGCCGAGGCACAACATGCACAACAGCAACACACATCCATAGCCAATTGCAAGCCAAGTGCTGCTCATAATAATTTGTTAGAGTGCATTTTCCACATTGCAAACGGAGGAGATGCCGGTTTTTCAAAAATAAAAAAAAAACCCAACCCCGCCCACCAGCCAAACGAGCTGGAAAACTGCTGCCTGGAAGAAAGTGAAGCGAAATGAAATGCAGCTGCAACAGCAATAGCAACAACTGCTGCACCAACAACTTGCAACTACTTGCTACTTGCAGCTAGCAACTTTTGCTTCTCTTTCTCTGGTTAAAGCGGCTTTCTTACTTGGGTAATAACTGGCTTGCATTTCATTTGAAAGACGTTTAACGCACTGCCTTAATTGCATTGTGGCAGGCAGATACAATTGCATTGGCTGGCACCTCAACTCTTCTTCTGATGTTGCTGCTGGGCTTGCCTCGCCACGACGAACAACCTTGACATGCAGCCAAACTAATGACAGGAAATCGTCGACAAGTGCGCGTCCCAATCCCATCTGCAATCTGAAATCTGCCATCTCCATTCTACGGTCTCTCCAATCCCATCCACAATCTAAAGCGAACCATTCCAATCTAGTCCCACACAGAGATGAGCTCGCCTCACCTTATTATATAGTTAGTTGTACAGTGGGGCCTCCGTTGATTGAATTGAATAGCCCTTTGGCAAGTTAAGTTGTAGGTTGTGATCGAAAAGTGGTACCTTATAAGGCTAAGATCTTTCGGTGATTTCCAATGGCAGTTCGGCTTAAAGATGCTCAACTGTGGTTAGATTGCCTTGGTTGGCCGCGCTTTTTAATTGCGCGTCGCATCCAACCGGTTGCCACTTGAACTGAACAATTGCCGCCCATGCCATCCACATATCTGTATCTTGAATCTGTATTTCGTATCTGTATATCCGTGAGTGCAAGTATCTGCATCTGTTTGGCAGCCAGGGCAGTTGGGGCAGTTGGGGCAGCAAAAATGCGGCTAACTTCGTTTTGGCCATTTGCACCGATTGATCATGGATTGTTGGACAGGCGCCGAAAGAGCCGAAAGAGGTGGTGGTGGTGGCCACTTCCATTGGAAGTGCAGTGTCTGCACCACAGAGTGGTGCACCACTGCACCACTGGGTGGGGTGCATTGAACCAATTGGAACTGAATCGAACAAATGTGGCTCACCTTGGCTCAAGATATTTCACTATTTCTCTCTTTCTATGGGCTACAAAAATGTCTATTTGTGTAAGTCTGTGTGTGTTTGTGTGCTTATGTGGGTGGGTGGGGCAAATGGGCAAATGTTTATCAATGAAATTGGACAGCTGAATGGGTAACTAGGTGGCCAGGTGCCACCGCCGAACTACCAATTAGTGGGTGAACATGGCCTGGCCAAATATGACAAAAACGCCAGTCAAATGGAAACCAACTAAAAATTTGCATTTAACTAGTCATATTTTTTCTAAGGGTAGCCTATCTACCCTATCTAAAAAACGCCTAGAAACCGGTCTTAGGTAGGTGCACTCCCTCTTAAGGGGCTACATATTTGATCTGTGATGTACGAGTATTCTTTTGAACTGAAATCCATGCCTGGTTCCGATTCGTAAGCACCTGGTAACCCCCTTTTGGATCGATTTCATAGCAACATTTCACGGGAGGAGGCTCCGATTACCCTGGTGATCCGCTCCAGAAGCCGGATGAGCAGTCGAGAAATGGATGAGCTCACACCGCCTGGAATGCAGTAGCGATTCGGACTTTGATTCAGCTAAATAAAAAGCCAAAGTACACATTAAGCGATGTATAAATATACGAGTATAAATACCAGGGGGAACAAACCCGGGCGAATGTCATTGCCCGGACTTGGAAACGGATTCGATACGAGACTCGAAAACTGTCAGCCATATATTTGCATCGCGGATAATGGCCATCATCTGGCTGGCTGGCTGACTGGCTGGCTGGCATTAAGATTCATTGCGAATGCAAGTCACAGCTTTTGGATGGTGGGAAACTACGTTCACGACTGTCGCTGCTGACCTTGAAATGGACCCCCAATAGAAAAGCAGCTAAGAAATCCGCCAAGAAATCAAACCAAGAAATCCAGCCAAGAAACCAGCCAAGAAATCCACCATCAGGGCAGAGAAAGTAGTTAGCCAACCAGTTGGCGGCTAAGAAAAAGTAAAATTATTTTAGGACAGGCCGTTGAGAAAAGTATGTCACCTGCACCCAAGGCACTCAGACTTTCGGACCTGGCCAAAAAAAAACACACACACAGAGACCTGGCCAAAAACAGCTGTGGCAAGTTGCGGGTTTTACTTTCTGCCCCCAAAAAAATGTACACAGAAAGAAGGCTGAAATCGAGAACATGGTGCCAAGAGAACTTGGCCAAGTTAAATTGGTATCAATTCGAGTTATTCTTTAAAAAACTTCCAAGAATTAAATTCCAATAAGAACA